AAAAAAAAAAAAACAAAAAAAAACAAAACAAAAAAAAACCAAAAACAACAACAACAACAACAAAAAACCAAAAACCTGCCTTCATTCCTGACATCCAGGTACCGTACATCACATCCTTTCGTTTGACACAGATTGAAGAACGCACTTTAAATCACCTGTTGAGAAATAGTGTGGCTACTCCTTAATATAAGCAACAATGGTTGAAAATAGAGGTTAACAAGCCAGATGTGGAAAAACCAGGACTCAAAGGTGAGCACGTAGGGTGGCAGGAAGCTTCTAGAACATCTGATTGGAGGGGTGGGTTCATGTGAAAGGAATCAGAGAGCCAAGTGCCTAACTGCTCACAGGTGGTAGCTGAAGAGAGGGATATGGTGAAACATACATTTGGTATGATTTCAATGTCTGGACTTTGGAGATCTAGTGAGCTCCAAGGACACTCTAATGGCAACAGCCAGTTATGTGCCCTGCTTTACAAAAAGCAAACTAAAATTGTGTTATCGACTGAAAGGAAGGCAAGCAACAGTGAGATGTGGATACTTTTCATTCAACAAAAACATATATTTATTTATTTATTTATTGTTTTTCCAGACAGTATTTCGGGTGTTACAACCCTGGCTGTCCTGGAACTCTGTAGACCAGGCTGGCCTCGAACTCACTGATCCGCCTTACCCCCCCTCCCCCACTAAGTGCTTCACCACCACCACCCAGCTTTTTTTGTAATATTTTAATGCCAGCTCTTAAAGGCCTCAAAACACTCCTAAATATTCTAAATTTTTTTTCATGTCAGGAGACCATTTTTACTCAATTTTTCCAGTGAAGGCTTTTTTATTTTCCTTTATGAAGGCATCAACTGTCAATTCTTAAACTTTTTCATGTAAAACTCATCAAATGAGCCATTCCATGTAATGGGTGGAAACAGGTGAACTACAACCTGCACACACAATCAAAGGTAATTACAGCTTTGCTGCATACATTCTCAATCACTGCCAAACTCGGAGATTTGCTGTTGAAATACCCTGAGTGCCTCCAACAGCACAAGCATTACCTTGTGGCCAGAGCGCGTGATCTCAATTGTAGTCACGCTGCTTCCCAGTGGAGATCACATCCCACTGGCTCCTGGTAGCAGCATCTCCAAGGTCTTACTTCATAGCTTAAGGCATAGCTTTTCTATAATTTTGTCATCAGCAATTTTAAGTCTATGAAATTCAGTTTTCTATGTTCCTGAAATAAACTTTGTCTGTCTAGAGGTTTGATTTGTAAGCAGCTAGAGGCACCGTGCACTCTCCACATGTACTCACAGGAAACACTGCCAGGGAGAAATGCACTCTTTGGTTAGCATAAAAGACAAAGGTCTTCATCATGGATCTATCACATCCTACAAGAATAAATGGAGGTGCTCAAAAACCATCTGGAAGTCTGTTGGGAGCCAGGCTGATACAAGGCTTTCTCAAGAGGCCCTGATGAAAGGGCAAACCTAGGTCTGTGTTCCTGCCCAGGGGGCAGACTTGACAAGATGTGGGCTGGGGCTGGGGCTGAGGCTGAGGCTGAGGCTGAGGCTGAGGCTGGGGTCAGGTGGGGCCCTGAAGGAGTTAAGGTTTCAGTTCCTGGGAATTTGTTTTCCCTCTAAAGAGACTGGATATCCATTCCAAGGCCACTGCATGCTCAGTCTATGAAGCACTTGAGCTACTCTGTGTTCCCCTTGTGGCTTCATTAGCTTCCTGCTGACTTCATCTCATTGTATGATAGCTTTTCACTATGTCCCATTTTTCTTTCAACAAATTGTATAGAAGAAGGTGTTGTTCTTCTTAATAAACTTGCTTGGCATAAAGACATAGCTTTGCAAGACTTCCTGAGCCCAATTTTCCCATCTTCTTTAGTTTCTGAACTCCTGGTGCTCCCTCTCAGAAACCTGTCACTGAAAAACAACTTGTTGGTCCAGGTCAGAAGCCTCCATCTGCCTGACACCCACAGGCCTGAAAATTGTCACCAAAGAACCAATGCCAGATTTTACTGCCTCTAAACAAGCTCAAGGATTGCTTTGTGATATAGCCAATTACCCCGTGACCTTCAGTCAAGACTGTTTCCCCTTTGTACTTACCATACTGCTACATGGAAGACTGCCATGCTCCCACCTGCCAGACACTTACTTTCCCTAGCAGTTATCGGCATCATTCCATACCCTAGCCAAGGTTTCTAATAGAGGAAAAGCCTCACTAACCTTTCCAGGAGCCTGTCAAGGAGTTTAGTGACCAAGTCGTCATTGTCACTCACCTAGGAACATCTCACTGGCACAAAGTCAAGCCACCAGCTGATGCTGCCCATATCAGGGGAGTACCACCTCCCCACTAGCCTCCACCCCACAGAGCCAGCCCCACACTTATCTCCATTTCATTCAAAACCTGGGAATACTGTGTATTTAGAGTGATAGAGATGCGGGCGAACTGCCCGGAGGGATTTCACAGGGCCAGGCCTTCTGCTGTCAACGTTCCTTGCTGACAATCTGTGCTCACATCATTTACAAAGCATGTTCTAAGCAGCTCGTTAGTATGGGAGTGTAATTCCCACTCTGTGGTACAGTAGCACTGCTGTCAGGTGCTGGGCCCCAATACTTGGTGAGTTCCAGACAGGATTAATTTGATGGCCATGAACAATGTAAGCCCAAGTACCAATGTCTATGAAGAACATCAGGCTGTTGTGCCAGTAGGTGCCACATTTTCTCAAGGAGTGTTTGAACACACTTATAAAATGAAAAGGATTGGCAGAGTTCTTTGTTGTATGGAAGAGGGAATGAGATTATTTAACTCAACTCTGAAGGGGTAACACTTTTATTTCCTTCCTAAAACAAATACGAAAATATAAACTTGACATAGCTGTTTCAGTCAGTTTTCAACTCGTCTATTCAGAGGTGCTGTGTAACAGCCAACACGAGGATAAAGTATTGCTGATGAGAAAGCCAGGCATTGACATTGAGCAGCTCTATTTCAGTATGTCAGCCTGATCCAACCACAAAGGTCAGCTGGCTGCTTTGAGACAGGGTTTCTCTGTGTAGCTTTGGAGCCTATCCTGGCCATCACTCTGGATACCAGGCTGGCCTCAACTCACAGAGATCCGCCTGCCTCTGCCTTCCGAGTGCTGGGATTAAAGGTGTGTGCCACCAATGCCTGCTTTTCAGTATTTTTAAGACAGAAAAATTCTCTAACCCTTTTCCACCTGACAAGTATATGAGGGAGAAGAAGAAAGTGTGACATTAATGACACAGATCAAGAAAATGACAATAGGAACATAACCCGAATCTCTGCTGCAAAGTGATTGAAAAAGAAATGTATTTAACAAAAGCTTTATACTAACTATTAAAATACAAGGTCCATTGAGCCCGATTCTTAGAGGCTGATCCTCCAGTGCTGAAATTCACACACAGTGACTGACACGGGCAACAGGCTGCTCCACAAGAGGGCCTTGCTTTCTGGGGATGCAGGAAATAATTACAACATGAAGGGACCAGATCTGTGAGCTTTCCCATCAACTCTGCGATCTGTGACACAGGAGGCCGACAGTCTTTGACCATGAAGCATTGACACTGAGCTTTTTCTCCAATCCTCACTCAAGAACGGCATTTTAGCAAAGCTCTTACACACAGGAAACAGTTATGTCAGGAAGTTAACATTCTCAACATGGCAGAGCATCCTCAGATAGTGCCAACAGCCAGACTACAGACTAAGGAGAAGCAGAACTCTCCTACTAGGAAATGGCTAGGAAATGGCTTAATGGAGTCACGTTCAGGAAACAATCAAGTATAAACCTTATATACTAGCTTCCTGGTTGGTAGACTTTTCAGAGTCCTTGGTTAACGGGGCAGTTAAAACATCGTCAGCTTTAGAGTCAGCATGCAGTGCTTTGATTTCTTCCTGTATCATGACAATCATGTTCCATTAAAAACATTATTATCTTCGGCTTCTTAGAGAACTACTGCTCATGAAAGGGTCATCGTCATCGTCCTGAAATGACACAAATGTTGCATTATGTCAGCAACCACTCATCCTCTGTTGACCCAAGACAGAAATTCTTATTATGCAAAATAGCATCAAGGGAAATGACATTTATTTCACCTATTTCCGCTGATACTATAAAATGTAAATGCCCAAGTCAATTCTTTGACATTAGAATAAAAATCTACCAGGTCCTGGGTGAGATTGCATACACCTATAAAACACAATGCATATTTCTCCCAGTCACAAACCTTAATAAAAGGAAAGAAGGTATAGAAAACCCAGGACAGAAAATATTCAAGTCACTTCTATTCTATTCGTGAAGTTATCTCATTCACATTATTATTTTTTACTATTATGTGTATGTGCATGCACACACATGCATGCTTGTGTGCCCTGTCAGGACAACTTCATGGAGCTGGATTCTCCACCCACTCTTTGTTAGCTTCAGGGCTCATACTTGGCTGCCAGGCTTATACAGCAACCGCTCTACCCACTGAATGCCTTGCTGGCCTCCATTACACTTATCACTGTGTTTGCCTTCTTGGAAATTCAGGCAACAGACAGAGAAGCCACAGGGAAACGCTTCCTGTCACCCATTTCATGATAGAGTAGATTGCTTTCAGCCCAGTGGAGGAAAAAGCCGAGCAAAGCTGTCTTTCGGCTTTTGCAGAAAAAAGTAGATGGTATATTTCCAGTGTTCTCAAACCAATGGACTGTAGGCTACAAGCATGGTAAGAATAAATATGACACTAAGAATTTAATGAGAATGAAAACAATCGAGGGCCAGTGGCACAGGGGTGTCATCCCAGCTGCTATGGAGGCTGAGGTGGGAGGATCACATGTTCAAGGCCTGTTTGAGCTACAGAAAAAGTTCAAAGCCTTGGTAACTGTGTGAGGCCCTGTCTCAAGGGAAAGAGAGAAAAGGATAGAGTTATAGCTCAGTGGTTAAGAGCTTGCCTAGCATATGCCAGGCCCAGGGTTCAAACCCAGTCATAAAGCAAAAAACAACTAGTAAGCCTTATATAAAGACTGACTATATAATCTGATAAAAGATAGTATTAAATAAATTGTACTTTATAGCTATATATTTGAAAGATAAATTAATGTTTATAAATTTGTTTCCATTAAGATGTTAATAAAGGCAAATGATTACTTAGTATTAGACTTTATTTATGACATTAACAAATCCACATTTTACGAAGTTCTCTAGTGAGAAATGGATGCCTTGAGGATCACAAATTCAACTGTTTTGCTGATTCATTTTCCGTACTATCAAAGTTAGGCCTTGCTAAAGTCATATGAATGAAAACTGAAATGTGCCTTCAGTTCTCTGTAGTTAAATGAGAAAAGTATATACACTTTCTTTTCTTCTGAGTGTATGCATTTTTGTGATGTACATTTGCTTATAAGCCCCTGGAATCCATGCATCCCGTACCTCAACATCTATGTGAGTGTTGGACATCAGGTCTCAGGTTCTCCTGCTTATGCAGTGAAGGGACCAGCTCCCCATTTCGGCAGCCATAACAGCCAAACACGTGCTTGTCCTGACCTTGCCTTAGTCACTAGGAAGTCAGATGTCTGCCTCGTGGCAAGGGACCAATCAGAAGTTAGCTGGTGGTACTATGCTTTACGGCTCTGGGTATGCTTTAAGGACAAGTGCATAGCAATGATGCGCAGAGCATAGCAACCACCCTGAGAGGGCCTATGGGCCATAACAACCAGTTGACCAATCAACACAGGGCAAACCCTCCAAGCCTGGAGGCACACCAATCCTGAGCCTGTGCGTACCCCTAAACACTCCTCTTACGCTGCCCTATAAGATCTCTATGCATACAGTTCAAGCTGTCTTTCCTAGCCATCCGCCATGGCGGGTGGGTTAAAGACCCAAGCTAACATGGGGGTAGCTTATTAAACAACTATAATAAAGCCTCATGCAGTTTGCATCAAGATTTCAACTCTGCCTGGTGATTGGGGTGACCGTGGTCCTGGGCTGAGATCCTGGAGGCCTGAGCTTTCTGGGGGTCTTACAGCAGCAGGCCACCCCTTGGTATACACATTTTAAATTCTACCATTCATGGGCATCAGATGTGTGTCTTTTTCCCTACTGGCAGCAATATGCCACCATGAATGGTGACATGAGCTTTTTATGTTAAGAACAAAACATCTTCTACAAAGCCTACAGAGGTTTAAGTGGCAGCCGTGTGGGAACAGGACAGGCCAGAGTTCCATATCTCACAGTTATGCCCCTTTTCATTAAACAACAGATGAACACAGGGGAGGTATGTGCACCTCTTCCCATTCCTTGTGAGTTAAAGCCTGTGAGAGCTGGTGCAGACCACCATTTTGTTTGTGCCGAGTACCTGTGCTAAGGTGGCATTCTGTCCAGGGTAAGGAACATGGTGGGTATAGGGAACATTTCACCAAAGTAACCTTAGAAGCCCCTGCACCAGCATCACCCAACTCTCCAAATATGAACAGCAGAAGCTAAAAGAAAAAAGCCAGCCCATCTCTGATCCTGTTAATGGGACAAATAAGAGCAGAGTGAACATTGTGTTTTAAAAACTCACAGGCCTTTACAGGTAATTACACTGATGGGCACTTACTGACTTTTAGCCTTACGGATCACAGCAAGGCTATCAGGGAGCCTAAAAATATAACCAGTGTTTAGCCAGTGGCCTCCACTTACATTTCATAGACAGTTAAAGTAAGAAAAAGTCAATGACATGACTATTACCTCATCTGATTCAAAGTCAACCCCCTTGGCTATCTGGCTCTGGGACATCCGTTTGCTAGATGTTGTGCCTGGCCACCTGAGGAAGAGAGAAAAACCAAGGAGTAAATGAGAATACTGTAAAAATGCACTACTAGTCATGTGTTCAATCCCAGAGCAACCACTGAGTACAAACAACACACAGCTCTCTTTAATATATATATCTATGTATACTAAGAGATAATATACTACATATACATACTATGTGTATATGTGCATCCTACAAGCTCTATTTCTCTGAGGAGTCCTAAGAACAGCAATAATTGTTTCTCAATTATTGAATGTTTTTATAGTAAACATTTTCTAATAAAAACAAAACCCTAATTGTAAAAAAACCATTTCCTGGCTATGTTATCCCCTCTACACCTAAATTTCATCACCTGTCAAATGGGGAAATGTTTGTTTTTTAAAGAGCTATGTGCTAATAATAAGCTTAAGCAGTAGACCATAGTCTGACATGCTAGCACCACCCAAGCACTAACTTAAGCAGTAGACCATGGTCTGACATGCTAGCACCACCCAAGCACTAACTCATGTCACCACTATAGGGTCAGCTCCCCTCCACAGCTGTACTATGACAGTACTCCCCCTTCACAGGTACAGAGAGGATCTTGGGACAAGCTCACAGCTCTCCGGAACATCTCTGCCACATCCCACAACACTCGTTCTTTTCCATAAGCACTCACAATCAAGGGCCTGAATCATAACATTTCACCCACAATTATGAACTAATTCAATAATCCTTAATGCAGTTGTATGTGTTCATCCCCTTCCAGGACAATTTAAGTCAGCTAAGTCTTCAGCCTTATCAAAATTTGTTACATACCATCAGACCTAATAGAATGTGAAAACAGAAAGTGTTAAACAAAAGAAAAGGGGGCTACAGATTTTTTTTTTCTTTTTAAAGAAAATACATACACTAGGTACATACAGTGCCTAGAGGACAGATGGACCCTCCTGGAAGTGAAGTTACAAATGGTTGCGGGCCATCATGTGGGTACTAGGAACCAAACCCAGGTTGTCCGTAAGAGCACCAAGTACACTCAACTGTTGAACTATCTTTCCAGCCCCCTCGATTATTTTAAGTAGAAATTTTCATTAATTAGGTTTTAAGTAAATAGTACTTACCCAAAATGTTAATACATGAAAGAAAACAGTGATTTTTAAGTAGTTTAATAAATATTCCAAAGTGAGTCAATTAAGTACTCCAAAATTAAGTCTACTTCACCCACTCTAGAGTAAGTCCATGTTAGCCTGGTAAGTACTCCTGAGTAAGTCCACTCAGTACTCCAAAATAGGTCCATCCAACCCCATAAGTACTCCAGAGGAAGTCCAGTCAGACATAAGTACTCTAGAGGAAGTCCACATCAGCCACTTAAGTACTCTAGAAGTCCAGTCAGACATATAAGTACTCTAGAGGAAGCCCAGTCAGACATATAAGTACTCTAGAGGAAGCCCAGTCAGCCACATATGTACTCTAGAGGAAGTCCTGTCAGACATGTAAGTACTCTAGTAGAAACCCAGTCAGACATATAAGTGCTCTAGAGGAAGTCCAGTCAGACATAAGTACTCTAGAGCAAATCCAGTCAGTCACATAAGTACCCTAGAGGAAGTTCAGTCAGTCACATATATACTCTAGAGGAAGTCTAGTCAGCCATATAAGTACTCTAGAGGAAGTCCAGTCAGACATATAAGTACTCTAGAGGAAGTCCAGTCAGTCACATAAGTACCCTAGAGGAAGTCCAGTCAGACATATAAATGCTCTAGAGGAAATCCAGTCAGACATACAAGAACTCCAAAGTTCTTATCAATCTCTTCATGTGTTTTGCACAGCTCTGTGTACATGAAGCACAAAAAAATTTATATAGAAAAAAAGAAAACCAAAATCCAGAATTCACAAAAGCATTCTCTATTACTGAAGAGACAAACTTTCATGAAGAAGGGAGCTGGGCAATAAAGACAAGGGGACATGAATCACAGGCTATTTTTCAAAAGAAACAGAGCAATGCTGAATCATACTATTTTCATTTCTATATATTGTGCTAGATGAAAAGAATTCTATTTATCCTCTCTGGCATAGAAAGACGTATTACCATAGAATTCTGGATCATTATACTTTTGTTTTTGAAGGAGGTCCCTGGCCTACCTTTGATCAGCCTTGGAACTGGTAGGAAAAATGTCATCTTCATCAGATTCATCCACTTCAATAGTCTACAGAAGGGAGGAAACAAAACAACAGGTTCATCTGAATTAAATAACAGAGTATCAAGATGCACATGTAGATATGTGTACAGGCAAACTACATAAACACAAAACTCAGCCGCGTGTGTGGCTCAGTGGTAGAGCAATTGTCTACAGTGAGGTCTGATCTTCAAATAGGGGGGCAGGGCAAACCCAACCTGACCTCCATAAGGTATCTCTTCCTTCATAAATGTTATTCACTGCTCCAAGGTCCACTTCTCTCCTGGCAATTACTGAACCAGGGTCCCTAAGGACACAGAATGTGACTTACACTGCTAATGCACCCCTGCCCTGCAGTTTTCTTCCTAGGTTCTGATAAAGTAATGGACCTTCAGTGTGTCAGCTCCAAGATTTTCTTAAGTAGCCCAGGCTAGTTTCAAACTTGCAATCTTCTGGCTCTGCCCACTGAGTGCCAAGATTACTGATGTATGCTACCAAGCCCACCTATCAGCTCCAATTTTAAATAAGGTATAACATCAGGAAGTAGCAGATAGGTAGATATTACATGTTAAGAGCCAACAAAGATCTACATCAACCTATCATGCTCTGCGTTTTGTGTTATCTTGACACTTGACAGGTATGTGCTATGTTTTCACTTAACTAAAGTGCAGATGAAGAAGGAGCCAACGACACAACAATGAAAGGGCAGCTGGCAATGCCAAGGGCCCTGCTACACAGCCTGCAGTGCACAGGATGGGCCTTCACCAAGCAGAATCATCTGGCACAAGATGAGTCTCAGCCTGGGGCTTAAGATGCCTGGATTGTGACAGTGAGACAGGAGGCCAGACCTATCCTGAATTCTCTATCTCCCAAGGGGCAGCAAGGCCCATGTTGTATCTGCAACAGGATACAAGGATCCCAAGACTCTGGTCTACTCAGTCTTTAGGCCACACCAGTATGAAATGAGCGCCCCCATTGAGGAACACACTTTCTGTGTCAGGGCTTAAAAGTAGGGCCATTCAGTTCAGCACTGCTGCCCTTTAAAATGCTACCATACACACAAAACTAATGGACTTCTAATAATGTGAACCATTGGGTTTTGTTGTTGGTTTTAAAGGAGACTAAATAATCAAGTTCTCACCAGTGTTGACGTTCACACTTCATCCCCATTAGGAAACTCATAACTCAGCAAACAGATTATTAAAATCAAATCTCTAGCAGTTTTCTTACCTCTGAGTAATTTTTAGTGGCAGTGTTTCTGGAAGGCTGCTGTCGAGTAGATCTGAAAGCTAACATAAAAGGTGAAATGCCTGTTACATAGTTCTTAAAACAATTCAAAAAATCTACTCACTTCCTCAGCTGAAGGATTTTAAAGTTCTACCTACAAAAACTTGGAGATCAATTAGAAAACCAATTACATATTCTGGAATCTGAAAAACTGTGAAACTATATACACTGGAAGTACACAGAATCCACCTATCTGCCTCACGTTTTCCCAGCTTGTTCAAATATAGTAACAAGCAGAATTCATACATTAGAAATACTTTATAGACACACCTGGAAGATGAGGTCTTCCACTCAGCCGAGAGAACTACACTAGTCCTCCCAGCCTTGCAGCTGACACAAGCTCCTGAGGCCTCAGCAGCTTTCACTCCTCTCCCTTGGGCAAATGAGGACACCCAGAGGGGAATCCTACAAATCATATATCCTTGACCCCCTGATAAAATTTTCTTAAATCCTCACATTTTGCTTTATAGAAACTTGAAGTCTGGCTAACTTCCAATAGATCCAAACACCTGGCTGAGTTTTGTTTTCTCATTTGCTAACATGTCATTTGCTAGCATCAAACATAGCTTCTCCAAGACAAACTCCACTATAAAGAGGGCAAAGACAGACATTAAAAAGTCAAGGTATCCTTCAGAGTGAGGTCTTTCTACCCAGCCCAATGTGATTACTGCTCAAGCTTCCCACCTTGAATCCCTGTCGGATCTTGTGCTGTGAGAGGAAGGTGAAAGGCAAATGTCCAGGTCTCATCAGCTCTCTCACTCACTAGCCTCACCCTACTTTCTAAACTGGAGAATAAGGGCAAACAAACAGAAAGCCAGGGAGCCCAAAGCTTTCAGAGACGCGCTGTCAGGACTTACTAGCAGTCCCCAAACCCTGAGGTCCTGGAAACCAGGAAAACTTTCTTTTGATCCCTAGTGGACAGCAAACGATGAAGGAATACTTATGAAACACGTAACATTCACTAGAAGACACACTGTGCTTTATAATGAAGATCATGTGCGTCAGCAGTTCAGAGGTCTGGCTCTGGAGCTGGACCCATTCTGACTTTCTAGCTAGCACCCACTGCCAAGTTACTTGGCTTATTCAAGTCTCAATTTCCTCACCTGCAAAATAGTGCCAATATTTCACACAGAAAATCGCTGAAAGGACAAAGAGGTGCTTAATGCAAATTGCTTTGGCAAGTGCCTGGCAGGAAGTAGTCATCCATACACAGAGCTATTAGCATGAAAATGAACAGAGTGGCTCTGGGTAGAAAATCACACAGAAAGGCAGTGGCCACGGTGTTTTTTATCTGCTCAGTCACCATCTTCTGCTGACTAACTTCAGTGAAAAAACACCTGGCTGTCAACTCTCATTTACAGCATATATAATTCTTCTTTTCCCAACAGTAAACAATCTTGTGCTCTGTGGAGCTTGCCTCATTCCACCTGTCCATTCCTCTGCCTACAGTGGATATCTAGAAGTACAATTTCAATGATTCATCTTCCGGGGGTGCTGACAGCCAGCACTCCAGGTTAAAAACATCATATGCATATATGCATGTAACAAGTAATGAAAAAAGATTTTGAAAGAACATGAGGGGGTATAGGGGAAGGTTTGGAGGGAGGAAAGGGAAGGGTGAAATGGTGCAATTATAATAAAAAATTAAAGAAATAATTTTAAAACACCATTAAAGATAGAAATATGAAAAAAAAAAAACCCTCACCAAGCTAAATGTGATAAAAAAAAGACGTTTTGTGTATCCATGCTAAAAAAAAAAAAAAAATCAGTCATGTCTAGAGGAACAAAGGAGACTAATGGAAGTGAGGAGGGTGACAAGGGGATAGAGGGTGGGAGATATACAGGAGTTTAAGAGCAGAGGAGAGTATCTGACAGTTAAGGCTTTTCCAGACACAATGAAACACACCTCTATGAGCTCAACGAATCCTAAACAGGACAGAGAAAAACACCAGATTTAGATTTAACCTGGCAAAACTGCACAGGACCAGAGTTAACAAGCTGAAGGAAGAAGAAGAGGTTATAAGTGTCTACTGATGCACTTGGGATCCAATTGTTTTATCAGCCAGATTCATTACGTCAGCTTAGTGCCTCATGTACACTGAGGACATTCCCAGGACCCTCTATCAGGCAGCTGACTTGGCCATATGCTTCTCTCATCCTTACCCACCCTCACTGACCCCACTTCTCTATGTATTTGGGAATCTCTGTCAGAGGAAGTGAAGTTATACTGCAGAAGTTACCAATCCATTAAAAAGTTAAAAAGCACCAGTAACTTGGATGTATGGCAAAGATGTCTCAGCTTTCCATTTTGTTTTCTCAGTAGCGTGGAGATCTCCTAGGGCTTGGCACATGCAGGGCCACTGCTCTACTGCAAAGCTGCACCTCCAGCCCTAAGATAACCTCTAAAGAGTAACCTACTGTCATCTCCACAGCTGCTGACTACAGTGAGACTTACTAGTGAGGCAGCATGTTTGGTCTCTCTGTGCGGGAACTTACCAGTGTAGTCACTACTGCCTATACTCACCGTCTAGAATGGACATATTTCTAGAGGTCGATGTAGTGGCCTTTGAGCATCTGCCTCGAGTAGCCGTCTCCTGCCCAGTGTCTGCAAGTAGAATCACAAGTGGTCAGTAACAGTCCTTTGGCAGCTAAGTGACCACAATGCAGGAGTGAAAACTCAGTAACAGACTATGCACAGAAAGCTAGCAGTGTAGATGAAAAAGACTGAGGGTCAGATTTCAGACTGCACCTAGTCACATTGGTCCCCCATTATAGCTGAAGGACACACACTGTAAATATGAAGATGGTAAACACAATCATGGACAGATTCTTCAGAGCTCTTTTTGTTGTTTGTTTCTGAGACAGGATTTCTCTGTGCAGCCCTAGCTGTCCTAGAACTTACTATGTAGACCAAGCTGGCCTCAAACTCAGAGATCCACCTGCCTCCCAAGTGCTGCTCAACTCTTCAGAGCTCTTATATTAAGTCACAATGTATGTTACCAGCTCATATAGTTTTTAAAAATTTTTCTTTTATTTTTATGTGTGAGTGTGCTTAGTAAGTTTATGTGCCCCACATGTATGCAGGATCCTGCAAAGCAGAAAAGGGCATAGGAAGTTACAGACAGTTGTGAGCTGCTGTGTAGGTGTTGGCAACTGAACCCAGGTTATCTAGAAGAGCAGCCAGTGCTCTTAACCCCTGAGTCATCTCTCCAGTCCTAAGAACTGTTTCTAGTGATAGATTTATGGACCATTGCAGGACAACAAGGCTAGCAATAACAGCTATGCTGTGACTGCCTTTAGAAATCAAGTTATTTAGAGTGGTTTTCATCTTTAAACAAGCTCATGGGGACTATAAGCTCATGGAGACTACAAGCTCATGGAGACTATAAGCTCATGGGGACTACAAGCTCATGGAGACTATAAGCTCATGGAGACTACAAGCTCATGGGGACTATAAGCTCATGGGGACTATAAGCTCATGGGGACTATAAACTCATGGGGACTACAAGCTCACGGGGACTATAAGCATGTAAGTTTTTTGACTTTTGATAGTACTAATATTTTTATAATCTGGATTTGCAATTTGCTAGCCATTTTCCTTCATTCCCATTGTGTCATTCTTTACTCCTCCATCCATGAGAGAATACATACAAGAGAAGTGCACAGTGAAGTTCTTAATTATAGCTTTAAAACAACTAAACCCAATGTCGGATGTGGCCAGATACAATCCATCTGAGCCAAGGGTGCCTATCACAGCTGCTCTACAGGTGCCTATCTACAGCTGCTCACAAAAAATAAGTAAATAATTGTTTTAGAAATAAAACCTTGTAATTCAATTCTGACCCAAGGACATGATTTGGAATTTCTCTTCTAGCTTTGCAAGTCTGAAGTGTTGAAAGGCAAAGATGAGTGCTAACCTCGGCCTCTCTGAGATCCTCCTCTTGATGCGGTGCTCTGCCCTCTGCCTCCTCTTCGACCTCGGCCTCGGCCCCGGCCTCTGCTGGGCACTGCTGACAGGCTGTCATCAGAGTCATTTGCTGTCTGTTCTGCTATATCGAAACTCAGGTCGTCAGCACTGAAGGCTGAGGCAGAGTTCTCTGACTGCGATCTGAGCGCCCGGGCCCTGCTCATGGCCTGAACAGCAGGGACAGCACATCAGTAGAAGCAGCATCTTACCCACCACTGGTCCAGTCACATGGACATTCATCGTCCCACTAACATTGTCATGCACACTAAGTGTGCTATGCAAATGCAAAAGGACTCTTCTACCAATCCCATTCAATTACCAGTACCTGTACTAGAGCCTGCAGGAGACCTCTTACAAAGAAACTCAGTTTTGTAATCAGCACTTTCAGAACCAGAAGCAATGCTGAAGATCCAGCCTCACCCTACACAATATTTGCAAAAGATGATCCTGAGCATCTTTTTCAGAATGAGCTCAGAAGAGGAGGAGGAGGAGGAAGAGGGGGAGGGCGAGGAAGAGGAGAAGAGAAAAAAAAAACTTGCAAAAATAGTTCTTACCTCTGAGTGGTTAAATTTTAGGGTTCATTTATTTTCTTATTTTTGAATATGACATTCCCCTAAAATAATACTTTTATACTCAGAAAACATGAATAATATGTAATCTTATAAATTGCTACAAAAAAGCTTCTGAGAAAAAAATTAACATCTTAGAATCAAGAATATCTACTTTCTTCATTTTGTAAGAAATCATTTAGAACAGACAAATTTGAAATTTAGCCAAACATTCTAACTCTAAAATCAACAGATTTTTCATTAAAAAGAGAATGAAAGCAAGTTGTGCCCTGACCTCTTCACTCAATCAGTCAAAAATACACAAAGGGAACAAACCCAAAACAGGTTTTTAATATAACTTGAAAATCACAAACAGTGACCCTGAAGAACAGTTAATAAATACAGGCATCTGGGGGAAGCAGGGAAGTGAGAAGTCACAGTGCTGAAACAGCTCCCACACCTGTAACAACTGCCTTCTTACCTAAAAAGCAAGTTATGATCTAATAGTAGGAGACCAGGAATTCCTATGCTCCAATAGGACATAGCTGGCAATGAGAGGGAGGCTAAATGATACGGCAGGATAGGAGTTGGGTGGTGGATAGAGTTGCAGGATATGGGGTAGGAAGGAGGTAGATTAATTCAGTTTCGAAAAAGTTAGGAAAGGGCTCAGGAGATGGGCTTAGTAGACAAAGTGTCTGTCTTGCAAGCATTAGGATCTGAGGTGAAGCCCCAGCAATCACATGAAAGTCATGCACAGTGATTGGCACTTGTGATTCCATCACTGGGGAGGCCAAGAATGGAGGATCACTGGGGGCTCACAACCAGTCCAGACTACTCGGTGAGTGCCAGGCCAGCAAGACATGCTATGGTAAAAGGGGGGTGGGGGAGGCTAGGGAGATGGCTTGCTTGTTAAAGTGTACAAACATGAGGACCTTGGTTTGGGATTCCAGAACATTCATAAAAAACTGGGTGCCATTGCATGTGTCTAGCATGGCAGCTAGGGAAAAGACAGACAACCTTAGGAGCTTGCTGGCCCAGCCAGCTCAATGCAATCAGTGAGCTCCAGGTTCAGTAAGAGACCCTGTCTCAAAAAATCAGGCAGAGACTCATAGAGGAGGACACCCTGTGTCAACCCCTGGCCTCCATATGCAGCACCAGATAGAAAAGACATCCAAGACTGTCTTCTGCACACGTGTCCACACACACATATACATGCACATGCAATGTTAGGATAAATAAATGACTTGTAATGCAAGTCTTTAAAACAACCTAAAGGGACCCAAGTGGGGGGGGGGGAAGATGGCATCAACAGTCTAATTATCCAAGAAATTTTTGAGAAAATTATCTGAAAACACCATCCCAGCGCTGGAAAGATGGCTCAGAGACTAAGAGTGCTAGCTGTCGTCATTGCAGAGGGCCTGGTTAGATTCTCAGTAGCCACAAGGCAGCTCACAACCGTCAGTAGCTCCCTTTTCAGGTAGTCCAACTCCCTCTTCAGGCCTACCAGGATACCAGACAAGCTTGTGATTCACGGACATACAGACAGGCAAAACAGCCATACACATAAAGTTAAACAAACAAACAAAACAAAAACCACCATCCAGACACAAAGAAAGTTTTCAGAAAAGCTAGCCAAATTTCCAAGAACAGAGCTCACTGCTATTTCAGCAATTGCTGAAGCACAGAACAAGTGCTCAGTTTTCCCAAAGCCAGTTCAACAGGACACAGACAGAGCTGAACATATAAAGAGAAATAAACAGAACTGTGCTTATGAATACAGTAGGGAGTACAGGAGTATCTGCAAGACTGACATGCAACTAACAGGGTTTACAGAGTGACAGCAGGACAGGCAACACAGGGAATGTATTGAAACAACTCGTATGGGGCTGGAGAGATGGCTCAGAGGTTAAGAGCACCGACTGATCTTCCAGAGGTCCTGAGTTCAATTCCCAGCAACCACATGGTGTCTCACAACCATCCGTTATGAGATCTGGTTCCCTCTGCTGGTATGCAGATATATATGGAAGCAGAATGTTGTATACATAATAAATGAATAAAATCTTAAAAAAAAAAAAAACCAACTCGTATGGACAGAATACAAAGAGGAAGCCCCACATTCTCCCTCCAAAAGGCTTTAGCTTTCCACTAGTCCTGATTTAAGCCAACAGGCTTCAAGAACAGGTGAACATTTATTCTACATGGCAAAAAATACTAAGTATGAAGGGAGAAGGAGAGAGTAAGAAAAGAGAGAGAAAGAGGAACAGGGGAGGGGGGAGTTAGCCTCCACACTACTATAAGCAGGTGCCCCACAGGAACACTTTATAAACATTAAAATGAACTGTTCATGGAGATTGAGGGTTTAGCTCAGTGGTACAGCATTTGCCTAGCATAAGAAAGGAAGCATGAATCAAGAAAGAAGACCTTGCCACTGAAATGCACAAATATCAAATCTGTAGTAACATAACACAATGAGAGGGCTGTGGGGAATACGCGCTCAAGAACATCAGTGATTAGAAGGCAAGCCAGTATCATACCTCTAAAGCATCAGCGATGCCCAACAGCATTTAAAACCCTGATGTTCCACTGTAATGTTTATTTTTGAGTGACCTACCACTATTTCCAAATCACCTTTTTTTCTTTTTCTAAATACCATCTTTTTATCTTAAATATTATAGCCAGTGTTCTAATTCATTTCTATGCAACGGCTTGGAATTTACTGACTCTAGGATTTATTCTTCATCTCTACCCATTTTGCACCCCCAAGTCCCTGGGGACCCCAGTTCTGCTCCATTCCTATGACTGAGGAACACAGTATGGCATACAGATGAAATACTAGATTGTCCATTTGAATCTGACTTTCCCACTCAGTGTGCATTCAGATTTCAGGCACACTGGAGCATGTGTTAGGCTGTAATAATGTGCTAACACTCCCTTGCAGGAGCGCACATTTTGCTTATCCAATGGCCTATTGATAGACACTTGGCTGTGTCTAATTTGGCTACTGTCAATCATACTCTAAGAGCACTGGTATATGAGTATCCACTTGAGATTCTACTTCCAATCCCTTGGCTGTACACTTAAGCTGGAGTGTATGAGGACCACATGGTAACCCTGCATCTCATCTTTCTCAGGAGAAGCCATATTGCTTTCTGCCCCAGTGGCACCAGGTCCTCCTACCAGGAGATACAGGGCTCCAAACTTTCCACATAGGTGTCAATACTCACACTGGGTTTCATTTTTGTTTCTCTAATGTGGGTGGTTCCATGTCTCTGCATACTTAGAATCCTAAGTGCTGATAGAGCACTTGAAAACCTTTGAAAAGATGTATCCAAGGCTTTTGTCCAAGTTGCTGTTATTGTTGAATTTTAGAAGCCTTTTTAAATGCAATGTAGATACCAACTCCTTGTATGTATAATTCATAAGCATTTCCTCCCATTCTGTGAATCCTCCTTTCACTCTGCATGGGGTTCAGAATCACATTTTGAAAGGGTGTACCAATCCCATCTAAATTTAGAAAGGACCTAAGATTTTATAAGCCAGAAAAATCAAGGACTGTGTGCCAGACTACGAACAACCTTATATGTTTAAAGGATTGCAGGTGTAGGATTGAGATCATGGATGAAGATCACAGGCCTATAAAATCCAATCTTTACTGGTCCTGGTCCTGTGTTTCCAAGTCAACTTTTGTCTAAAGAAATAAGAGTTTTTCCCTTGTAAACAAGAAGCTATATGGGATATATTTTTTCCCTTTAAATGAAAGGACTAATACTTCCATTTGTCTGTTAAAATAACTGAAACATGGTACTAGGATTCATATTCTGAGCTCAAAGACTCTGACAAAGTTGTGAATTACATCTTGGGAAAGTGTCAACTCTATTACTCAAGGCCTAATAGGATGCTGAGGCTGAAAACCCTGCCAGCACCCTATAGCATTCTGGAAGTGCTTACTGCTATGGTTTAATATGCTTTCTAGACTTTCACATGCTATAAATTTCATCCACAAAGTCACACATTTCAACAGTATGGTCATTGCATCACGAGGCCTAGCCTCATGAATGGGTTAATCTATTCATGGGACTGATGGATTCATGAGTTATACAGTAACTGGTTCTGTTATGAAAGAAAGTAGCACACTCACTGCCTCACTATGTCATGCCATCTGACACATCAGAACCCTGCAGGAAGACTCTCATTAATGCTGGCACCATGTTCTCTGGCCTTCCCAGCTTCCAGTACTATGAGTTCAAAACATTCCTATAGTTTATAAATTATCCAGTCTCAGGCATTTTGATACAGCAACAGAAAACAGACTAAAAAGCCCAGGAAATCCTGCTGTCTGTAAATGTTTTAAAAATACAGCTAAGTTTTGCTGGGCAGTGGTGGCTCATGTCTTTAATCCCAGCACTCGGGAGGCAGAGGCAGAGGCAGGCGGATCTCTGTGAGTTCAAAACGAGCCTGGTCTACAAAAGCTAGTTCCAGGACAGCCTCGAAAGCCACAGAGAAACCCTGTCTCAAAAAAACCAAATAAATAAATAAATAAATAGCTAAGTTCCAAGCTTTCTTTATTCCTCTGAAGGACTCCCATTTGAAATGTTACATTTCCATATAAAGTAGTCATAGTCCCATTTATCTATTTATTTTTGGTGGTGATAGGGATAAATCCCACACTCTTGCACATGCTAGGTAGGCAGTCAATCACTGACCTATGCCCTCAGTCCCAGCTCTTATCCTTTTTAAAAAGACTAATGAAAAACAAGGCTAGTGGCTTCAATCCAAAAGGACTCAATGTAAAAACTGTTTTTATTATACGTTCAGTTAAAAGTGATAATCAAGATTAACCAGATGATCTAAGAACCAGAGAATATTTTTCTTTCTAGCACATTCTTTCCTATTTTAAGAGCACCTTGCAGGATGAATACAAATGGAATAAATGTAAGCAAAACCTTATTAGTTGTTTTTTTCCTTAAATTAAAAAGCACAACAGTTGCACCTAGAGCTGGCTTTGATGGACTCAGAAGCTTCCCGATTTTAGCCATTGATTGGCCACGCATAATATTATGATAACCTGGACCCCTGAATAGACATTGGCTGGCACCAAGTCAAGACTTCGAGGTACAAACGTGCTCAAAGTCCAGTACCACCATGTGACCGCGTCTAGTCTCAGCCTCCTTCTTTGTAAAATAGGAGATGACAGTGCAAGCACAGTAGCTATCAAAAATAACTTAATAAATATCTTATTCACACACACCTCAGTACTGCACAGCAAATTCGGGGTTAGAGACCAGACTTCTTCCACATGTGCTAGTAAAAAGCAGGATGCTCGGCACAAGAGCCACGAAAACTGCCAATTGGCAGTAATCTAGACAAAACCTCAGGAGCCAACAATGTGTGAAATAATCATGACACGGTGACAGTAATCAAAACACAAGAACACACAACCAGAAAACAGGAGTGTACATTTCAATCATGACTGCAGCAACCGCTAGACAGAGGCCCAGAACTTCAGTAAGCAGTTTCAAATCTTCCTTTCCTGACACTCAAGGAGACTGAGGATTTCAACATTCTAACTTGAAATAACTCTACATGTTATTTTCATTAATGAAGACTCTTCGTATCTGCCCACCACATGTACAAATATATTTCAATAAGAGCAGAAGGGAGAATAGCAACAGCCACACACTAGTCACTGATGTGAGCTAAGCTCTGGCAAGAGACTTTACTCCTGGGCACAGACCCTTGGGCGATCCGTCCAAATATACCCACTAACTCTTCTGGTTCACAAACCAACCTATGGACCCAGTACACTGCAGCTGGAAAATTACCTCTCGCACTTCATCGTCTTCTTCGTTGGTATTTCTCTGTCTGCTTTCTCTGAAACGCCGGACCTAGATCACAATAAAGAAAGTCAAACACTGTGTATGTTTTCACAGCACAGCCAATCAGAATACAGGTGACCAGAGAACAGAGTCATGGGCAACTTGGTGGTTTTTTGGTCTGTGCAGCTGAAAGACTGAAGAATCCACTCAAACTCTACTGGGAAAGCAGGGCACAGAATGGGTGTTTTGCTTGGGAGATCTGTATACCATACACAAGGAAAAGACCGTGAGCTGTGAAAGTCTGGAGTGAGAGGAAAGGCTTAGGAGAGACTTGTGAAAAGTCATCACCGAAGCCAAGAAGCTGGATGAAATTAGAAAGTGGGTATGTAGGTGCAGGGGTCCAAAGACCGAGCCCTGGAGAAGTCTAGCTTAAGCGGATGGAGAGATTAAAGTTACCAAGAAAGAGGACACTCCATCAAGGAGAGAAGAGTCCTGTAAGACCTGTAAGTTAAAAATGTCTCAAGAAGTTTGGCAGCAATCAAAGTAGGACCTCAACAGGGGAGCTGGCAAAATGAGTCACAGGAAACCTTGACAAGAGTGCAGCCTCACTGGAACCAGGGCTCAAAAGCCAGCATAGGAGCCAGGCATGGTGTTACTACACATTTTTAATCTCAGCCCTCGGGAGGCAGAAACAAGTGGATCCCTGTGAGTTCTAGGCCAGTCTGGTCTACACAGTGAGTTCTAGGACAGCCAAAGCCACAAAGAGAGACCCTGACTCAAAAAGAAAAAAAAAAAAAGGTTGGTAGAGTAAGGCATGGTGCTCTGGGTACCAAAAGTGCTGTCGTTCACAAAGAATGCAGGTGGAGTAGGCACAACTAGAGGGCATTGAGTCAGGTAGGAGGCAAACTGTTAGACACTGTTTTAATTCTCACAACCATGGAGGAGATTCCATTATTCATCCATTTTATAGATAAGACACAGACATCTTAGAGAATTCAAGGAGCAGGACACAGATAAGGCTTTTGACTCTGAGCACAGACAGTGCAGTTCAGAGGCCATGCTTTTGGCTACCATTGACATACAGACACACACACTGTGCAGCTCAGGAGTCAGTGTCACTAAAGACAAACCAACTAACTCAACACATCTAGAGTCACAGAGTGAGTGGTGCTGAGTACACACCTGCTCTGACTTGACCAGCACCTGGCACTGAACATACTATTTACACATAACACAATAAGGCTTTAAGAGGGCCATGCTAAATGCATTAAGCTGAAAGACAAGTGACTGCACTTGTGAAATAGTGTTTTGTCCTATGGAGAAGGTAATCCAAATCTGTAACTATGAGACCTGCCAGTGTGTTTGGAACCTCTAAGTATCTACTCACACTCATGCGCATGATGAAAGTGAGTGTGCCAGTGTGTACAGCTCTGCATTCTTATAGTACTGCTTACCTGTAACATTATACCGAAAACACTTTCTCATGTCTTCCAAACACATATTTTTGTTTATCTGAGACAGGGTCTCATGTAGCCCAGGCTGGCCTAAAACTAATTATGTACTGAGGATGACCTTGAACTGCTGATCCTCCTATATCCACCTTCTAGACACTGCACCTGGCCAAAATCCTCATAGTTAATAGCTATAAAAACTTCTAGATTGTCTGTGTAAAAGTGCTCAATAAAGAGAAGTTTCCTGACTATTCCCCACTGAGGTCAGCACTAGCAGCAATTTTTCTGTGTCTTTTCCTGTCTTCCTGTTGTCTTAAGAGAATTTCCTGAGGCCACACTAAGGAAGGACTTCCTTAGTTCCCCAGTGCCCACAGCCATGCTGCTTTCGTGAAGCTGTTCCAGCAAACCTCCTCCAGCAATGCACTTACTGCCAGTTTTCTAAGTCAGACTTGACAAAGAAATCCATTTACTATTAATGGCATTAGTTAACTGTGGTTAAATACAACATTCTCAAGCTTGTTAGACATTCATACTCCCTTATGAACTCCCTTTTCCTGACTTTTGTTCATGGCTCTACTGAAATGTTTAATATCTTCCAAAGCTTTATATGAGCCTTTTAATATGATATTGAAAATATTAGCCTTTTCTCTTGCACATTCACAAATAATTTCTCCACGTTCATACCCTTTAATTTTGCTTTTGACATACCAACATTTTAAATTTCAATCTCAATGGAAGTTTTTTCTCTGTTGCTCCTTGATATGCAGAGGGAAAACATGCTCCAGGTGAGACTCAAAAGTCCAATCAAAACTAATGAAAACAGTAAAACAGCAGCAATTCATACACTGCAAGCTTTATTCCAAAGCATTCTTAGGAGCTCTGAATGACGCCTTCTCTAGACAGAACCAACCTTTACTCAGCACCAGCCACATGTCAAACTCTGCTGGGTGCTGCTTAGACATTGTTTAATTTGTTCCTCATTTTATCCCCTCCATTTTATAGATGAGGAAACCAAACTAATTAGACTTAAACAGTGGTCAATCAAAACCAAAACAAAACGGGACTCTTGAGAGCCTATCTATCAGCAGCTCACCTCTTCGTCAATCTTGTCTTCCAGAGCATCGATATGGCGCTCCTTAAGAAACCGCTGTGTTTTCTCCAGCTGGTACTTCACTAATTCCTCGATGGCATCTTTTTCTTCCTTGTCCACAAATTCTTGAACGGCTTCACCCATCCCTCTTTCTGTCAGCAGTGAGAGCTGAACATTCTGCACAAGAAAACACAAGCTGTTTGATGCACAAGTACTATCTGTTCCTCATCTAGTAACTACCCAAGAGTGAAAACACAATCTGTTATGGGAAAAGATAAGCTGCGGGGGGTGGGGCTCAGCAGACAGTACTTTGCCAATGGCTAAAAATTAAAGGGCCAAAAAAATGGGAGTCAAATACAGTTGCAACTTCAGAGGCCTGAATGGCTGTGCCAGACCCGAGAAAGAAGCCATGGATGATGACTAGAAATGAGGTGAGACCATTGTGGGAGGAAAATGGTGGTTATAAAAATTTCCCCACCTCATTCTAGGACCTCTGGCTATGTTTTATGGTGAAGAAGTCTAACGCTGCATATGGCATTTGAGGCTTTTGTCATCTGGCTTTAAGCTATGGAGATTGTCAGGGGCTCTTTAGGCAGCCCCACATCATCACAGGGTTTCAGAAAGGAGAAGAGGGAGGCCTAACTGGGGAAAGGGACAGAGAAGCAACACTGCTGGCTGTGCACATGGACAAAAGAAACTCAGCCAGGATAATCGAGGACAGCTAGAGGCCTGATAAGGTCAAGAAATAGACCCTCAAGCCAGGCGTTGGTGGTGCACACCTTTAATCCCAGCGCTCGGAACGCAGAGGCAGGCGGATCTCTGTGAGTTAGTGGCCAGCCTGATCTTCAAGAGCTAGTTCCAGGAAAGCCTCCAAAGCAATACAGAGAAACATTGTCTCGAAAGAAAGAAAGAAAAAGAAAAGGAAGGAAGGAAGGAAGGAAGGAAGGAGGGAGGGAAGGAAGAAAGGAAGAAAGGAAGAAAGGAAGGAAGGAAGAGACTCTCCCTCACAAGTACCAGAAGTGCCAGAGGGGAACACGGCCCTGCTGACACCTTGCTTTCAGCCCAGAGACCAATGCCATTTCTGACCTACACAACTGCCAGTTAACTGATGTGTGTGTGTGTGTGTGTGTGTGTGTGTGTGTGTGTATTTAAATAAATACAACTAAAGAAGTCCAAGTAGCTTTGCTATCATATGGTTGTTTTGTTTAAAAAAAAAAAAGTAACTAAATGAAAAAACTACATTCAAACCTAAGATAAAATCTTAGATCAAGACTTACAACAGAAATAGAAGTACAACACAGTGCCATCAATGAGTCCTGTTAATTACATTAGCAATGTCCACCGAACACTTTGAAACAGACTACCTCACACTGGCTACTTCACACAACCACTGTGGAGTCACAAGTCACTTATGCACTATACATACACGATACTAAAATCTGCTGTCAGCCATTCTTAAAAACATGAGCTGAAAGGAGCTACCTTCTCCGCAGTCTGGAAATACTGCTTCACCAGGTCTTCTACTCTGAGTGTCGTTCCTTCCGAAGGAGATTTTGAAACAAGCTTCCCAAAGTTGATCTCTTCACCTACAGAAAGGAGGGCAGGAAAAAAAAAAAAAAAAAAAAACCAGCAGCTTCTATGACGCATTAAAATAGTCAAACTCACCAACTCCTCATAAATTTTAAGGCATAAAAGGCCTCAAATTTGCTAATGGCTTTGGTGTTATTTTGTGTTTGTTTCTTTTTCCACATAGTCCATACACACTTTAAAGACTATGGCTATTGCCGCTGTTCTACTAAGTTTGTCCCCAGACCCTTCATCACTAGATAACTCTTTCAGAGTCAAAACACTCTAAGAACAGACATATCACTTGATGACAGAAAGATGGTGAGCAAAACTTCAGGAGCACATAATAAATCCCAGCAGTACCCAAAAGTGCTGCTGATGCCACACCACACCCACCTACCCACCCACCCCAGTTCAAATAAAGTAACCCAGCTTCAATGACAATGCCTCTTACAGACTGGTAAAGTAACTGTATTGACTCTTAGCCCTGTGTACCTGTCAGCATTCTTGAGAACACTAACAGGAAGTATGCTTAATGCACTTCTGCTGACTTCCTGCGCAGGGCAGTTCAACAAAAATGCAGCAGATGTACAACAGTGCCCACTCTTGGCAGAGACACCATCTAGTTCAGTGCATCTCTTGCCAGGTGAACAAACACCTTTTTGAGTTCCAAGGCAGTAGTGTTAATACTTTTAAATACAATGACTATTCTGCATTTGCCAGATAGTGTGTTAAGGCCATTTACAAAACAATTCCAGCTTTATAAATGAGGAGTCTTAACAGTAGAGAAGTTATTAATTTATATAATTTCACACATGTAATAAAGTAGCCAAAGTAAGAAGAGACTTTCAGTTAAGATACATCCAGGTGACATCATTTCCATCAAACAACTCAAATTTAAATTAAAAAAGTATTCCCAGGTCAAAATCTACTGGGGATAAAACTCAAACAGAGTAAGGTTCATGTCAAGGAATCAGTAAGAAACAACTGATTAAAACTCACATCTAAAACACAATTCTTGCATGTGGCTTTCTGTTCCCCATAGCAGCATATATGACCTATGCTTCAATACCTGAAAGATGGCTTCCAGCTGAATTCACAGCATTCATAAATTATTTTGTAATTTTTTTCATTATTTCCTAATGTATGAACGTATAAGGCTCAGAGGCCAGAGGAGTGCATTGGATCTCCTGAAACTGCAGTTACAGACAGTTGTAAGCCACCATGTGGGCGCTGGGAATTGAACCTGGGTCGTTTGAAGAGCAGCCATTGCTCTTAACCTCTGAACCATCTCTCCCAACCCCTCATTCTTAATTTCTACCACTGCTGAAAATTCTCTTGCTAGTTATAAAAGAAAGGGCTCTCAATAATGAACATGATTGGTATTTCTTAGGAAAAGGCATTATTTTAGTTGATGACTTTGTTTTCTAGTTAACAGGACACTGTTTATAAAATTTAACTGGAAATGAACTACTCAATCATCAAAAATACCAAACTACAGGACACTTCTGGCTTCAAAAGTTTGGTCTTCCTAAAGCACTATATACACTAAGTCAAAATATTAATAATGCAAAAGTTGAAAGCTCATACTCTGATTATTAATCCATGGTAGGAAATATGTATTATGAACAATAAATGCCTCAAGTCTGTGAGTGCTATTACTTAACACCACACTTTAGAAAGCTGTGTTTGCAGACAAAAGCCTTCCTCTAAGCCCTCATTAATGGCCACAACTTTAAAAACTGAATACTGCTGGGTGGGTCAGTGCAAGCCTGCAGTCCCAGGACACTAAGGATCCAGAGTGTGAGACCAGACTGGGCTACAGAGCAAGACCTTGTCTCCAAAAGCAAGTAAGCAAACAACTAGAAAATACCCCAAATGCTCATTTTTCAGAAGATAAAATATTCCCCTTACCATTTTTTGTCTAACATTACAAATATGAAAATGTCTACTACTATTTTGCATTTATTTTACCAAAGACTGATTTATACAAATTCCAACAGAGCAAATTCCAACTTTTTAAAATAACCAGTTTACCTGTTTTTCCCTTTTGCTCCCTATGCCTGAAAAAGTGGATGATATCTTTGGGGTTAGCGACCCGATCCACAAATTTCTGGCTAAAGCGAAGAACACTAAAAGGTTCAAAGCCTCCACTGTAGTCCACCTGGAAACACAGGAAACAGTGTGCCAGTTTTTGAGAAATACACTTTTTTGGCACCTATAGTTTGGAATCTGTAGTCTGATACATATAGTATTTATATCAATCTAAAAGCTCAATACTTTTACATTTCCAAACTCATGTCCTATGTTTAATGATCATGATGATGTTAAACCATTTGTCCTAGTGACAGAAAAATACTCAGAAGGTGAAGTTTACACAAACACACTTCTTGTTCTAGAAAACAAGGACATGTCATTCCAGCATGCTGAAATGCACTGTCTCCCATGACAGCCGAGGTACACAACATGGGTACTAGCTGAAAACAAGGTGGGCCTTTCAGATCCATTTTTCAACTTTCAAAATAAAGGGATAAACCCTGTACTGGCTAGTTTTGTGTGTCAACTTGACACAAACTAGAATAGTGTCATCAGATAGGAAGGAGCCTCAGTTGAGGAAATACCTCCATGACATCCAGCTGTAAGGCATTTTCTCAATTTGTGAGCAATGGGAGAAGGCCCCACCCACTGTGGGTGGGGCCATCCTTGGGCTGGTGGTCCTGGGTCCTCCACTCTCTCTCTAAGCATTTCACTTACTACCTTTCAGAATAGTATATGAAGTCTGTATTATTATGAAAACCAGGAAGGTTTAATTCACATAAAGGACTTACCCGTAGTCGGATAAGAGGCTTCTCTGGTTGAAGAGAATTCCCTAGCCGTTCGCGCTCGGCATTTTCAAGCATTTCTTCAATCTCAAAATAAAAATGGCAAAGTATTAAATTTTTAGTAAATTGGTTGACACAGTTTATACTACTGTAGGTGATGGACGATCCTGACTTCATCTTAAGGATGGAAGCCATTTTGTTATAAGTTCATTTCTGTTTCCTGCAAAATCCAAGCTGGCCTAAGTGATTTAACCTGTTTCTGGAATTTGCCATGCTCCCCACCCTATGGAGTTGACTCACACCTTGGAGGTACCCTGATGAGATCAGATATTCTGTCAAATAATTTAAAAATGTTCAGCCAAGTTCCTACATAACCAAAATTCCCTGGAAATCCTCCAATCCTTGAAAACTAGTCATACAGTTTTGGGACTATATAAACAGGACCCTCTCCTGTGTTCAATTCTATATTTTCAAATCTCCCTTTAGGGAGATAGCCCTGTCTGGCAGGAAATAAATCTTGTTTAATTTGATCAAGGAATTTGGGTAATGGTCTTTACTCTCGTTCTGGGGTTAGAACCACATAATTCTGCACTGCTCCAGCCACCTTGACTTCCCACCCCACTGACAGCATCTTTTAAACATACCTGTGGTGCCACCACCAACCCAACACCACCCCCCAACATTTTTTTTTTTTTTTTTTTTTTTTTGCAAACATTCTCAACAATTTTTCCATCTCTAATGTAATTCCTTCACAAGAAAATCTACAACACTGATTCTGTTCCAATTTTCTACTGTTAGACTCCCGGAAAAGCTCAGGCCTCCGGGGTCCCAGCCCAGGACCGTGGACACCCCAATCACCAGGCAGATTCGAGAGCTTGCTGCAAACTGCATGAGGCTTTTGTTTTTTAACAAGCTAACCCCATGTTAGCTCAGGTCTTTCACCCACCGGCCATGGCGGATGGCTAGCAAAGACACCTCAAACCGGCTGCCGAGAGATCTTGTAGGGCAGCATAAGGGGAGTGTCTAGGGGTACGAACAGGCTCAGAATTGGTGTGCCTCCAGGCTTGGAGGGCTTTCCCTGTGTTGACTGGCCAATTGGTGTTATGGCCCATAGGCCCTCCCAGGGTGGTTGCTATGCTCTGCGCTTCATTGCTGTGCCCTTGTCGGTAAAGCACATCCAGAGCCATAAAGCATAGCGCCAACAGCTAACTTCTGGTTGGCTCCTTGCCACGAGGCAGGCACCTAACCTCTAGTGACCAAGGCAAGGTCAGAAAAGCACGTTTCCGGCTGTTATGGCTGCCGAAATGGGGAGCTGGTCCCTTCACTACTCGTGTTTCAACATGGGTTCCCTTGCCTTAACTTTAAACCAAATAAATCAAGATTTTCAGTGGCATCCTGTAGATACTGCAGAAATTTATAGGATCTTGGATTGTTTACCTTGGAAAAGTTCAAGTAAATAAGATGAGTGTTTCCCATGTCTGAAGTTGTCTCACACTGTATCAGGTCAAGCTTATAAAAGCTCAGAGATCAAAAAACAAAGTACTTGTCCTATATTGTTCCACAGAAAGCAAATGTCCAAGAGGGCAGATTTTAATTCCAGCACATCTTCCTAATGGCTGCAATTGTTTGTCAGCCTGAGCTCTTCTCCAAGTCTGAGATTTTATAATGCTGTCCTGCTCTCCCTGCCCCCACCTGCCACATTCTGGGATTACAGGCATGCAGCGACATGCCTGGCTCCTCAGCAATGATTTTACCTCAGCAGTATCTGGTGCTGCTCCCATAAGCACATGTGGACAGAGGGACTTAAAAAGTAGGTAGTACAGTCGGGAAAGTGGCATTGAATGTCTTACAGTCTACAGCCACCTGTGCTAGCGATTGCACCAGTGGACAGTGAGAGCTTCAAGTATGAGATCTGCTCAGCCAGTTCTCAGTTCAACAAGCATGCAAGGAGCACCCACGAGCCAGGCAGCAGCACAAGTGCTCAACAGAAAAGCTAGGGAGCCAAGTATGGTGGCACTCCTGGGTCCAAACACTACAGAGGCTCAAAGACTGAGTCTGAGATGTCAGAGTAAGCTCCAGGCCAGCCTAACAAAAGAACAAGGCTGTTTCAAAAATCAAAAAAAGTTTAAAATACCAAAAATTTGGGCTGGAAAGTTGGCTCAGTGGTTTTAAGAGCAGTGGCTGGTCTTCCAGAGGTATTGGGTTCAATTCCCCGTACCCACAGGGCAGCTCACACCTATCTGTGACTCCAGTTTCAGGAGATCTGACACCTTCTCACAGACATACATACGGGCAAAACACAAACATACATGAAATTAAAAAAAAAGGAAAGAAACTGTCCTCACAGATGTGTGACAACTACACACTATATTAGAATGACGAAAGTGCACACGGCTTGATATCCTGTTGCTAGCAACCACTATCAGGGTTCTTACGATTCTCTTAAAGGTAAGGCATGCTGGGGATCCTGGCACTTGAGAGGGACAGGAAGAAAGTTCACAACAAGCTCACGCCTCATATCAAGAACCTGTCTCAAAAAAGAGGAGCGGGGGAAGGAGAGGGGGGAAGGAGAGAGAGAGAGGAAGAGGAGAGGGAGAGAGAGAAAGAAGGAGGAAAAGAAGGAGGAGGAGGAGAAAGAAAAGGAGGAGGAGGACAGGGAGGAGGAGGAGAGGGAAGAGGAGGAGAGGGAGGAGGAGGAGAAGAAGAAGAGGAGCAAGAAGTAGGAATTTAGGAGCAGGGGTTGCAGTGAAGCTCAACCAGAGGTGGTTTCAACCCTAAGAGAACATTTCACAGTGTTTTACTGTAGGCAAAGGGATTGTGATGGTTAGTTTTACATCAACTTGATACAGCTAGAGTAATCTGAGAGGAGGGAACCTCAACTAGAAGCCCACTACCCTAGTCAGCCAGTCTGGGAAGCCAGTCAGTGTGGAACCTGCACACACTAACACTTTTCAGTTACACAAACCACACATTGCTCCTTTAGCTGTGACACTGGCCAGCTGACCGATCTGAGATCCAGTTTGTGGTAGAGAACATGGATTAGGAGGCTAACACACTCAATGTAGAGAAATTGTCTAGCATCTGGATTCAACTCCTAGAAATAGCAAGGAAGAGGAGGAAGGAGGAGGGAACAGAAAGGGAAAAGAAAAAGAAAATGGGAGGCAGAATCTACCCACATACAGCATTGTGGATGGATTAAATGATACCCTGAACACAGCACATAAAAGCAGTCAGTATGCATCACTGACCATCACTATTATCCCCATTTCCTACTTACACGAGAATAAAGTGTAAAGCCAAGCTGGCAGAGAGTATGGACTGAGACTGTCAGCAGTTAAGGCTATCAAGACACCAGTCCATATATGGTAAAATGCACAGCCCAACAACAGCAGGGCACCCAGAACCTCTACAGAGGCTGAGGGATGGCAGCCATCTAAACCAGAAAGGGAGGCTGAATTTTATGTGGAGTAGTTTTCAGGGTGGAAGGAATGTGTCATGGAGATAAGAGAGTTGTAGAACCCTAGTGTCGTCCCATCTCCTAAGTCAATGTTTGCCTTAACAAGGAAGATGAGCCAATTATGAAACACAGATGAAATTGATGTGTATGCTCTTTAAAAGAAGTTCTGGGAGAGTTAACATCTCTATATCTAGCATTCTCTATGAAAAAAAAAGTCTTTGCAACTGAACTTTCAGCCCTAAAACTCCATTTATACTTCCTCCTCTAGGGCTTAGGGGACATTGAAAAAGACGGTGCAGAATGTCAGAACCACAAGATAAGAGTGCACATCACTTTGTGGGCATGACATAACCACTGCCATCATAAACTCACTGCAGCTGCATCGGGCTTGCACAAAACCAATAGTTAGTCATAGATCAACTACTGGATACTGACAGATTCTGGAGAAGGGGCAGTCATCTTCAATTATGTATTCACTAATGACGAGCCCACCATGCACCAGGGCAAAACAGATGGCCCTGTTTAAACTCAATGAGTCACAAAACAAAAAGACACAGATGTGGAAAAGCCTTCTTGAGGGACAGCGGTTAAGGGTGGAAGGGAGAGAAGGGGGACATTATATACATGTATGAAATTGTCAAAGAACAAATTTAATCAGCAAGTAATTCTACTTAAAAAACAAAAATACTTTGACTTCAGTTCCTGAGGTGAATAAGCACAGGTGGCTTCCCTCTGCTCTACTCTGCTCTGCTCAGCCCTATAACTGGAGCTCAGTGATTTATCAAACATGGACCTCACTGCTATTCTCAGAAAGTTACCTTCTCCAAGCAGAAGCTCTGGATGGCCTGGGTCACCTTAGGATTGTCAGGGTTGAACAGGTTTGGGTGGTTAGCGAGAACCACATCCTCCATGAAGAACTGCCGCACTGTGCGGAGAGGCAGCTTCTGCAGGTTCATCTTCCTCCCTTTAACGCGCAGCAAGCCCACGTGTCTACACGGAGGAACCAAGAGCTCAGTCATAAAGTAGACATCCGCAGGAAGATGGACAAAACTACCAACCAGGCTTGGGGGCACATGCCTGTGATCCCGGTACCCCGGAGACTGAAGCAGCAGGATAACAAGTTACAGGCCATCTGTGACCCCTTCTTAAACAAATAAAAGGCTCCATTTTTCTCTTAGTTCTCATAAAATATTTTCTTATAAAACAATACTCTTAAAAATAGATGTTTCTGTCAAGTTAATTTTAATTTTTTAGAGTAGAAAATGGCAAACATTCTTTTTCCTAAGAATAAAATATACTCCTCCATCATCTGTCTCAGCAAATACAGTTTCATAAAGGAACAAACCTGACAACAGTATAATAAAATGCTATCCTGATCATGACAGAGACACAGAAAAAGCTACAAGTACACACTTTATACGTGCTCTTTATACCAACGTTACTATAACCACCCAAACCTGAGCAGATCCACTGGCAAGGCCTTCTATAGAAGCCCAGTTCACAAAATGGTAACAACTTGAATTAGAACGCTAACATTTTTTAACCCAAGCACTTGGGACAAAGGTAGGGGGATCATGAATTGAAGGCCAACCTGTACTACTCCCTTGAGACAACAGCTTAAAAGCCACCTCCCAATGTGGACACAAAATATTAGATATACTACAACAGCACAAAGTGACTTTTCAGAGATGTTCTGTATAGACTGTAAAATTTGTCAATGTCTATATAGTAGATAATTTGAAACTTATTTTTTAAATGTTAGTCTTGAATTTTCTTAAAGGCAGCAAAATCACCACCACCAACCACCAAACGCTCTCAGTAAAAAGGCTTAACCATGTCAGCATAGCCATGTCTTACTGCCCTGCCAAGACAGGAAACAAGTCAGGCCAGATCTTTAGTGCCATGACACCTCTAAAGGATCCTGCCAACTGCCATTTAAGCAGATCAAATCTGAATCTAATCTCATCTGAGTGGAAATTCTAGGGTGACCCTATGAGGCTGCAGAACTGTAGGCTAGACAGAAGCAGAAATCCAGAAGCACTGATGAGAGGAGGGCCCTTCCTGAGCTAAGGCTGAACTTGGATGTTTTACCCCAAATGGCTATACCCACATCTCCATTAGTAGAGGAGATCATGGTGTTTACATGATTGGTCTCTATGGTGATCACCCTTATATTCCCTGTCACAGAGGAAAAGGGAAAGAGAGAATCTGGGAGCTAGAAGAGATGTTGGCAATTAAATAGTTCAGCTCCTGCCATCCCTTAATAACTGACCATGTCCAGACAAGCTAAGACCACAGAACTTGCTGGAAAAACTCCTATTTTATTGTGGGGGGAAAATGCATGCACAGCAAAGTTAGAGCTTTAGTAGGAGCCCATTTTATACAATTCTTAGATTCTACTGTGAAGCATTTTATTAAATTATCTACCCAGCTACCTACCTACCCTTCCCTATTATCTTCCACTTTAGTTTTTGGATGTCTTTCAAAGTGAACTATGGATATCTGTACTCCTCTTAAAGCAGCAAGCATTTGTTTGATTTTTCTTTTTTTAAAAAAACTTACCTAGAGATAAATGAGACAATTAAAGTAAAAACAAACAAACAAATAATCCCTCAAAACCAAGAAAACAGTGCAACTACAATAACAAACCTTCATATACAAAGTGACCTTCAGGGGAGGAGAGATGGCTCAGCCCATTAAGTACTTGCCTGAAAGCCTAAAGACCTGAGTTTGATTCCAGAACCAAAACAAAGTGGAAGAGAGAACTGATTCCACAAAGTTGTATTCTGACCTCCCCCTCACTCCCCCCCCCCATACACACGAGTAATAAATGAAATCTAAAAACTAAATAAGCTGTTCTCTGGATATCCCATGGATGTGAGATAACCAGACTACAGCAAGGATTTCTTAAGAACTTAGAATATATAAGTACTCACTTCTTAACAGCTTCTCCAGGGGAAAGAGAAGTCACCACTGAGCTTCCAGGCTGAGACACATAGAAGAGCTGCTGCTCATTTTTGGTTGGGCCAATTTTACACTCGTGTTCATGGCCCCAGATAACGAGGTCAATGAAGTCATCCAAAAACTGTTCTGGGATGAAGTTGGTACTTCCATGTTTACTCCTACACCAAGATTTAAGAGCAGAACATAAGTCTACAGATGTAAGGGCAAATTCCATCTTAAGCCTACACAGATCTTTTTTCTCTATCTTTGTCAGAAACTGCCTGAGGGAAGGGTACTGTATCAGATTCCAGTTTACAAACTTACAGGATATAATCAAACCAGAGGCCTGACAGGAAGCAGGAAGAGGCCAGGCCTGCACTGAAAGGAGATGGCAAAGTTTACAGAGAGAGTACTCTACTTTGGTCAAGTCAGGAAAACAAAAGCTCTGTCCACCGCAAATCCACAAGTGGACCTGATTACACACCTCAAAAAGACAGAAAAAAGGGGAGGGGGAGTTAAATCTAAACTTCGTGATAAAATAACAAACTATAAATGTGTCCGGTGACTTTAACATCATCTGTTTTTTTATTGACTATAGAAAGAAGGAATAAAATGGTCATTTTAACTTCCAAGTTTTCAGGACACTGAAATGCAATGACCTCATTTCAGGACACTAAAATGCAATGACCTCGTGTGGTAGAATATTATTTTCAGGTGTGGCTTTTCTTTATGCTGCATTTGTTTAACTCTATGAAGCTGTGTTACTGTGCCTGGTGGTCCTAATAAAGAGCTAAATGGCCAATAGTGAGGCAGGAACAAGGATGGGCAGGGCTGGCAGGCAGAAGTATAAACAGAAGGAGAAACAAGGAGCGGAGAGAACAAGCAACAAGAGAACAAGGGGAGGACTTCAGGGGATAGCCAGCCAGCCAGCCAGCCAGCCAGCCAGCCAGCCAGCTAGCCAGCTAGCCAGCCAGCTACAGGGAAAGAAGGAAAGAAAAACATACAGAAGAAAGATAAAAGCCCAGAGGGAAAAGGTAGATAGATGGCTTAATTTATGTTAAGAAAAGCTGGCTATCAACAAGCCGAGCTAAGGCAGGACATTCATAACTAAGAACAAGTCACCATGTGTGATTTATTTGGGAGCTGGGTAGCAGGCCCCCCCAAAAGAGACAAAACTTACTACAGCTGCTTTTTAGAATTAGCAGGCCTCTGTGAGGAGGGATCCATCTGAGAGGACAGAGTGCTCTGCAGGGAGGAAGGACAAGCACTGAAGGTGCCACAGTGACAACAGCAAGGAGAAGTGCAGCTTAGCTCGGGGATGATGGAAAACCACGTTAAGAAAGCAAGGGCCTGAGTGTTTTTTATGTCTTTGTGTGAATCAAGTATGTGGGGTGTAGGAAAAGCTGGACACAGTCAAACATAGCACAATGCCATGTTGCCTTCATAGAGTACAGTCTTTTCTGGAAGGAAATGATTCTGGCAGCTTGCTGACTAGTCTCTTGTGATGGGGCAGGGATGGCAATGTTCCACCCTTCGCTGAATCAGAGTGTCTGTTACGGTTACTCTTCTGTCTCACCCATTCCAGGTAGTCTTCATTGATTCTCATGAACTGGCTTCAGCCTGAAGTCGCATAAAGCAGTGTGACCCCTGCTGACCCCATCCAGGTGATGGTGAAGGAGTCAGGCCTTTACCAAAGGTCACAGGAACCTCAGGGCTTCACTTAGAGTACTTTTACCTGTTCTGATGAATCACAAATAAGTTAAACCATGAGTTCTCATCTTCCTTTGGTCTCAGCATTGTTACTTTTTTATTGACAAACATCCGATAGAGCCTTTCATCAGGAATGGACCCTGTGTAGAGACACACACTATTTTAAAACTATTTTCCCACTGTAGATTTATAAGGTGAATAGTTTTCACTTCTAAATTATGCATTTCTCAAAGGATTACATTTTCCTGTTCAGATATCTGAGTTCTGGAATCACATGTATAAATAGTATCTACTAACAAATGCCCCAGGTTCATGTACAGCAGCACTGAGGTGCATTCAAAGAGCAGGTTCCACTTTGGGAGCCAGGGCAATATGTAAAGAGAAACAAATTCTATGCTTACATCCCCACCAGAATGACTAGTAACATTTCTCACCCTTTCGCTATGAATGTTAAGTAAATGCACTTTTCAGCTATGATATACCATATAACATGCACAGAAATTAACATGAAAATGATGAAATGTTTCTAAAATGTATTTTAAGGTCTGATACTATTGTATATACTGAGTTTGTGCTTTTTTTTTTACTTTTTTTTAAAATTCTTTTATTTTATTTTTTACCTCATGTGCATCGCCTGCATGTATGTCTGTGTGAGGGTGTCAGATCTTGGAATTACAGACAGTTGTGAGCTGCCATGTGGGTGCTGGAATTGAACCCAGGTCCTTTGGAAGAGCAGTCGGTGCTCTTAACCACTGAGCCATCTCTCCAGCACCTGAGTTTGTGCTTTTTAATAACTTAATGATTTTAAGTAATTCTTCCTATACTCAGAGGCTTGCCTTGGTTTAGTAGAAGACATCAAGAAAACAGTAACAAAATGGTAATAAATTCTCATCATTCTGTTAGGAGGAAAGGTCAAGACACAAACACAGAAAGCAACTGTGGAGCTGGAGACAGTTTAAACAAGGCTACTACTTCACATTTTGACTACAGAAGAAAAGCCAGTGACTGGACACATAGAGAGATGTGGTTGTATGGAAAGAACTGTGAGGCGGACACAGGACAGTCAAACCCACACACAGGCCTGGAGGGCTGTCAGGAAACCTGCATGCTAAAGCACTACAAGTGTTGCTAAACCCTGAAGACACAGTCTGAGGGAAAGGGCAATCCCAGCAGCTTCCTAGGAACTGAGTATGTGGAGACACCAGATTGCCAGTGCGAGGGGAATAGGAGCCGCCACTTCTGCTCCAGCACCCACAGGTGTAAGTACTGTCAGCAGCACAGGAACAGTAGGCTCCAGATTTGGGGGAGGGGTGCCAAGAACTTGCTGATCACAAAGCATATGCTTTAGGTTTAGTGTGGAGTAGACCAGTTAAGGAGAGCAAAACAGGATAGACAACTCGGGAAGAAAATGGATCACGGAAGAGGTATGCCCCAGATAATAGCCAAGACACAGTTCAAACATAAAAGCAAGCCATTTTTCTGGAGACACAATGCCCAATATCACAGACACTAAAACTGGCTTTGTGTTCTATCTCAGATTCAGACATAAAGCACAATAAATGGACTTTACACATTATTTCTAGCCTCAAAACACTTATAATAAAGCCTAGCAAAAAAAAGCTTTCCTACAGAACACTGAAGAAATGGAAAACAGAAGCCAAGAGTAATGGCACACACCTTTGATCCCAGCATTAAGGAGACAAGCAGATGAATCTTTGAGTTCAAGGCCAGCTTGGTCTACAGAGTGAGTTGCAGACAGCTAGAGACCCTGCTCTGAAGAAACCAAAAACCAAACAAATTTAAAAAGGGAGGGAGGGAGGGGGGATTTTCCCCTTTTCACTTCTCCCAGTGCTGGGATTACATGCACAAAATAGCACACCCAAGGTAAAGCAGATTTCTGAATCTGCTTTAATAATAAAATGTCAGTTGCAGAATAAATGGTAATGTGAGGTACTAATGTACCAAATATATAAATAATTTTCTACCAGTCACATCGAACAAGTAAAATAGCAAAATGAATTTTAATATATATAATCTGTTAATAATGGGTCTCCCTCCATCTCTATGATTAGTGCATCACAACTCACAGTAGCCAGATTTCAGTCTCACAAACAAAAAAGGTGCTAGACAGGATGTTCTGACCTTCCATAGACTTCTACAACAACGAAACGCAGTTCTGCTAAGTAGTGTGCATTTCTATCCCTTAGCTTTCTAAATGTGACTAAAGAAAAGGTCCAAAACAATAAATAGAAACTAGGCAAAGTGTTTGTTGGTTTTTCTACCAAAACTGCCATTGAGTATGAATAGTTATCGGTCCTGAGAAATACTAAAACACTTTTAGCTTTTAGTTATCAATATCCACCATCTTTTAGTTATCAATAAGGAATAATCAAATATGTCTGACTTTTCCTCTTTCAGAAGCCACTTGGTCCAAACTTTCTCTATAACTGTATTTGCTAACCATTCACACAATTATCGACTGAAGTGGACAATAGATGACATCTGACCTAAGCCAACCACCTACCTAGGCCGTACAGAGCAAGTTTTGTGCTTCCTTTCTGCAGCAGAACTGGACTAATGTCAATCTTCTCCACAGACATTGACCGTCCAAAGTGATTCACAAACCCAGCACAGCTTAAAATATCCAGGGCACAGAGGGCATCTGCCTGTGCGAAAAGTTTCAAAGAGCATGAGTATGTCCATAGAAACGAATGGCCTAGGGGAGACTCATACCACCCTACAGTTTGAGTTAGCATCATACTCCTACAGCAAAAGCATACTCTGCAGGACACAGGTTAAGTGGGATCAAAATGTTTTCAGATTTGGGGTTTTCTTGACTTTAGAATGTCTGTGCAGATCTTACCAGGTGAGAATCCCAAGGTGAAAACCCAAAACCTAAAATGATCTATACCCCAAAACTTCTGAGTCTCAACATGGACATTTTTGTAGCACTTTTAGCTTAATGATTTTTGAATTAAGGACATTCAACCAGTAATTACAAAAACAGACTGTGGCAGTGTCTTTTCAAAACAAAACTCCAATGTTAAGCAGTTGTTACCTTCTCCCAACTACCTATCATCCATAGCAGCTGAAAGTATCTGCTGATGCAAAGCTAGAATCTCATCACTCTCATGATGCCCAGGCCCCCAAACACAAGTTTAGCTGTGAAATAAGTGCCTTGGGATACGAAGCAGAACTTTTATAAAATGGATTTGGGGGCACGGGGGAGGAGTAGGGCATATATGACCATAGACCTCACTAATGACATAGTGACAGAAGACACAAAGGTACTTTGTATTTGGACTGCCAGGCTTATTTCCATATCAAACAGGAAATAAAATAATTGAATCTAGATTAAAACACTAAAGAAAAGTCATTTTTATGGTAAGAATCCAGGAGCTCAAGTATGCTGAGGAGCCCTAAGTAGACAGTCACTCCTACTCCCGACTACTCACTGTGAGCCAAACCCCACAGAAACAAAAGCAAGGCTCCAGCAGGCCTTGTATCAGGGGCTGTAGTCCCAGCTAGTTACAGGCTGCGCAGAATCACAAGCTCCAAGCCAGACTGGGCAACTCTCAAAGAGTAACAAGAGGGCTGAGGATGGTAGAGTTGTCGCCTGGTATGTGTTAGATACTGGGTTCCACCCTCAGCATTGCAAGGAGAAAAAGAGCATGACTCTCTATACAACAATTCTTACTCCATATTAAAAACAAACTAATAAAGAAATAGAAAAACATCATAAACAATAATAAACTGACTTCATGGCTCAATTTGACTGCAAATTATTAGAAAAAAAGGGGCAAAACTTTGCACTCATTCAATGTCATTCTTAAGATTCCAACAGATTGGTAATTACCCCTGTGGGATCGTCATGGTTGCCATGGATACTAAACACTGGAATGGAAATGTTGAGATTGCCATCCTGATAGTTCACCCATGGAAACCTTAAAAGAAAAGAAAGAGCGAAAGTTTCTGTAAGGGATAAAAACTATTTCCCCAAAACTTTCCTTCCAAGCAGTAACACACTAGGCAACTACAAATGCTTATTTGCAGACAATCCCAGCTCAGTGCTGGAAATAAACTATTAAATTAAATGTTTATAAAGTATACGAGTGTCTAAGAACAGACGGCTGATAACTGGGAAGTTGGTAGGCCTCTAAAATGTTTAACTGTTTGTGTAAAGCTTATCCTTATAGCTCAGAGGAAGGGAGAAAACAATCTGTTCTCATGTAACAGTGCTGGTGAATCCAAAACCCCAGGATTCACAGCCCATCACCAGCTCCATTGCATCCCTATTTGCAATTTAGTCCCTGCCCATTCCTTCCTCAGCCATCAGGCTCCTATTCTCTGTGACAATAGGGTGAACAATTTCTATTCTTTTTTTCCAAAAATGTACCTACATATGTATAAAAAAGTACATTTCTTCCTTCTTACATATGTTAGCACAATATGGCTTTCTTCCCCTGCTTGACCATGAACTCTTTCCAGAGATCCTGTACACAAAGAGCTCCCCCTCAGCTTTTTGCCAGTGGCACATACTCCAGAGCTTAAGCAGGCCCCCACCATTTAGATTCTCCCTGGCCTTGTTTTCCAAGTGATGCCATAGTGAATGTGTACTAGAAATCGTTCCACCCAACCTCAGCCGCATGGTTATTATCAACCCTTTCAATCTACACCAGTGGTTCTGAACTCTGCCACAAGCTCTAATTACCTAAGGATTTTTTAAGAAACACCATTGCCCATGCCACACTCCGAGACTCACCAGTTGGCATGGAGACGGGACACGGGCACCTAGGTAACTGAGAACTGTCTGCCTACACCAGTGTCCAGGAGAAAACATTTGAGTCTATTCATCTGGAGCCTTATAATGAGACAGCTCCTGTTGATAGGTATTAGCACTATCCCATTTCTGTGCACTATGTGCACTCTGCCTACACTTTATAAACTAATGGACTTCTTTAATCAACAGGAGGAAATAGTCATTGGAAATTCAGCCTTAATTTATGCTGAGCTGCAAGCACTCTTCCTTAGTGTACTATGATTTTTAATTTGCTCTGGGATTCTTCTGGCATAAATATATTTCTTTTCAAGAAGACAAATGTACCGATCTTTTTTTCTAGCTCCTGGGTTTCATACATGACCTCTAAAATTAATTCAAACCACCAACAATTTGTATGAATTGTATAAAAGAGTGGATAGCTGATTAGTGGGAAGTTAACAGGACTCTAAGATTTAAAGCCTTTGTGGAAGACTTTCCTTTAATACTTAATAATTTCTTATAGAACTTTCATTGAATAATAGGTATTTCCCCCAACACAGACTCAACAGCAATAAAGTAAATGAGAGCTCATCACTCTCATAAGCCTAAAGAAAAGCTTACTTCAGAGAGAAGGGAGGCACGCATGGCAGTGCACACCTGTAATCACAGCTAACAGAGACATTGAAGCAAGAAGATCATGAGTTTGAGGCCAGCGGGGATATGTAGTAAGATGCTATGGGAAAACAAGGGGCTAGGGAAGGAGCTCAGTGGCAGAGGAAGTTTAACAGATACCTGTGAACACCCTAACATTCCTCTCTCCAGAGGTGGACTGTAGTCCTCTCCCATGAGTGTGGGCTGAACTTAGGGGCTCACTTCTAACCAAGAGCAATGCAAAGAAAAACAGCTTTGCACTGTTGAAACCTGAAGACATCTTAGCCTAATGACCGAGGTCAATGACACCAGTGAAGTCTTGCAGAGGTCACGACACAAGGTCCTAACACGAGGCTATCAGAAGAGCCCTTTGCTTCAGTGATAGTCTCCCCTGCAAGCCCACAATCCCTGTCTAGGAAAAATAAGAAAAAAAGCAAATGAGAGGCAATCTACAAGCACTCACCAGTCAGTTCCAGGGCCATCAAAGATGAGGAAAGAAAGAGAACCTGATACCATGTATGACTAAGAACACATTTCACTAAAATATAATATGGTGTCCTTAAAATATTGAAAAAGAAAACAATGGCTTGGGCTGGGGATATAGTTCAGTGGTAGAGTATTTGCTTAATATACACAAGGCCCTGGGTTCCATCCCCAACATGGCAGGGTAAAAAAAAAAAAAAAAAAAAGATACTTTTACTATGTAAGGTCTACATCAAAACTGTATCTGGCAGCAATAACAACAAACCATAAGCACAGCCAAAAGAAAATGATTGGAGAACCCTTTTACTATGCCTAAAAAATGGCTTAGTAGCTAGCTAGCATATAAAAGTAACTTGCACAAATCATGTTTAAAAAAGGTTTGTAAAAATAACAAAGGGAAGTGGTGGCGCACGCCTTTGATCCCAGTACTTGGGAGGCAGAGGCAGGTGGATCTCTGACTTCAAGGCCAGCCTGGTTTACAAGGAGAGTTCCAGGACAGCCAGGCATACACAGAAAAACCCTGCCTGGGGGAAATAAAAAAAAAAGAAAAAGAAAAAAGATTTTTAAAATACCAAGTTTTAAAATAGAAAAACAAAAACAAACAAACCCCAGAAGATACCAAAGAGGATGAAAGATCTAAGAATAAATGTAGGCCCAACATTAGTTGAGAAATACAAATTAATGCAATGATATACAGAAAACTCAAAGAACTGCATTTACTATTGGGGAATGAAGGCAAAGGGGCTAACAGATAATGCATTGGTTTCATCACCATAACACAATCTAGAATCACCTGGGAAGCATCTCAGTGAAGGATTGTCCACTGGCCTGTATGCAATGTCTGTGGGAAATGGTCTCGTCTCCAATAACTGATAAAGGAAGCGACAGCCCACTGTAGGCAGCACCATTCCCTAAGTTTTGGGACTGTATGAGACAAGAGAAAGCTAGCAGAGCAGTAAGCATACATGTACTCAGCCTCTCTGCTCTTGACTGTGGATGCAACTAGCTGCTTCAAGTTCCTACCCTGGTTTTTCCAAAATGATGGACTGGAACCTGGAATTGTAAGTCGAATAAATCTTTTTCTCTTAAAGTTGTTTTGTCAGGGTATTTTGTAACAGCAATGAGACACAAAACAGACATAAATATATTATACAGAAATCATACCCAAGGAAACCTTTCCTCAAACATAAGTGTACTTACCTACTAAAACCAAAGTTGACTGACTGGTCACTGATGATCTCAAACTGCACAGGGCGATCACCCATACAGTACTTCCTAAGCAACTCCAAGCAACTATGAAGAGTTTTCCTTGAGGGCTTGTTTTCATGGAAAAGATCACCACCTAACAAAATAAAATCCACCTAATCAACAGAAAACAATGTTAAAAATTAGTAAGTTTAAGATAAAAAAAAGTGTTTAAAGTACAGAAGAAATAGAAAAAAGATTTCAAGCCTGATGTGATCACTTAACCCTCTACTTTAAGAGACCAACCTTAGCAACAAAACATAGTGAGGCTACTGGCTCAATTTTAAAGAGGTAGGGGGCATCCCAATGGTGTAGTTTGGCCTGCCATGGATGACACCCATGGTACACCTGAGGTTAAGTCACAGCACCAAGGAATGGAGATAGACAGAAAGGGGCAAAGAAAGATAGCTAGTTTTTAATTATTCAAAAGACACACAGAGCTCTATGGCTGCACTAGTCAAGGGAACTTTAGTAAATCGGCTTCAGCCTCAATGAGAGAATCTCAAAAAATAGGAAGATATCCAACATCAACCACTGACCTTTACATGCACACATGAACACATGAATTCATATACCAAATCATAACGTGCCCTCAAACACACACAAAAAACACACACAAACACACACACACACACATACACACACACAGTGCTGGTGCACGATTTAATCCCAGCACTCAGGAGGTAGAGGCAAGCAGATCTCTGAGTTCAAGGCCAGCCTGGTCTACATAATGAATTCCAAGGCATCCAGAGCTACATAAAGAAACCCTGTCTTGTGGGAGGGGGGAGGATCAAGGGACAAAGGAATAAAATAAGAATAGCTAGATGACAAGGGTCCATATACAAGAGAACTTAAAAGTCAAGAATTTAGATTTCAAAAATAAATAGTAAAAACAGTGAAAAAAAAAATCCTTAAAGACAAATATTCACTTGGAAGATCCAGAGTGAGGAAGAAGGGAATCAGGAAACAGGGTAGAAATGAACAGAGGGGAGGTTGTGCTTTCAGACCCAGAGTTACAAAAAAGCATGCTCAGGGTTCTGTGGAAGGAAAACAGGCCTCCTTAAGTTTCTCTCTCCTGAGGGAAAGAGTCCAGCTTAACAGAATACAAAACCAGCAAACACAGCCAATTTCTAAGGGTCCTGACAGCTCCTATATCCTGTCAAGGTGTAAGTTAAGTTCAAATCCACTGGGAAAGATCTAAGACAATGTAAACTTAGAATAAAATTAAATGAATTTCTCACTGCTAGTTGAAGGACAACAGCCTTGGAACCAAATCAAGAACATGTCACACCATAAAAGGCTAAAGGAAGGGTATTTAAAGGCAGGCATTAAAATCATCTCGATTCAGTGGAATCCAAAGCTGCTTGGGAAAACTGCTTTACTCCCTTAACGGTCTCTCACTCCCGTTACACAGGATAAAGGACACTGCTTCATCCCCTTTTCCACAGTGGTTAAGTGGTTTACAAAAACCAGAGCAGGTTTTCCTCAGCTGCCGCCAAGGTGCTCGGTTCTTCCGAGGGAGCTAAGGTCGCGTTGGGGTGAGGCCCTCACTTCATTTGTCGACTAGCACCGTGCCGGCAGTCCGCAACATGGCCTCCGTCTCTGAGCTCGCCTGCATCTACTCCGCCCTCATCCTTCACGACGACGAAGTGATGGTCACGGAGGATAAGATCAATGCCCTCATTAAAGCAGCTGGTGTCAATGTTGAACCTTTCTGGCCTGGCCTGTTCGCAAAGGCCTTGGCCAATGTCAACATTGGGAGCCTCATCTGCAATGTAGGGGCTGGTGGACCTGCTCCAGCAGCTGGAGCTGCACCAGCAGAGGAGAAGAAAGTAGAAGCAAAGAAAGAAGAATCTGAGGAGTCTGATGATGACATGGGCTTTGGTCTTTTTGACTAAGCCTCTTGTTAACATGTCCAATAAAACCCTTAAAAAAAAAAAAAAAAAAAAAAAAACAGAGCAGGCACTTAATTATATCATGGCAGGCATACCATTCTTCCATTCTTATCTCACAACCAACCATCATTCTGGGGAGGATGCAGGCCCTAGGAGCCCCTGGGAATTTTAGGGCAAAGGTCAACAGCTATTAAGGGGATGACTGGTACAGAGCTAAGTTTTCTTAGGCATCACATAAGAACACATTACTAAGCAACAGACTTTACTGACATAGAATTTCTCCATAAGGAACACAAATAAGTGATAGGTGAATAAAGTAATTTTATATGAGGTCATTCAAAAAAAGCAGCACAATGTCACAGAGTGCTTGGAGGTATAAAGGAAAATCTCTTCAAAGAGGTAAATTGTGATGACAAGTGCCTATAATCTAGCATTTAGGAGGTGGAGAACCAGAATTTCTTTTTTTTTTTTCTTTTTTTCTTTTTCTTTTTTGGTTTTTCGAGACAGGGTTTCTCTGTGTAGCTTCGGAGCCTATCCTGGCACTCGCTCTGGAGACCAGGCTGGCCTCGAACTCAGAGAGATCCGCCTGCCTCTGCCTCCCGAGTGCTGGGATCAAAGGCGTGCGCCACCAATGCCCGGCGACAACCAGAATTTCAAAGTTGCCCCTAACTACATTCTGAGTTCAAAGGCAACATAGGCTGAGACCACCTCAATAAACCACCATTCCACTGCCCCCCAAAAGTAAAATGTGAAGTGAGAAGTCTACCCCACCCAAAGCCAGGTGATAAATCAGAAAAGTTGACCTACAAGGGACCAGAAAAGAACCCACTGGTGTGAACGAGGCAGGGCAACCAAAGAAGCAGAGGGGAGGGCCAAGGTCAATTATAAAGGTCCAGACTCCTAGGAGGTACCAGGTAGCATCCCTTGTAAGGATCCAGAGCCCTGGGAAGACTAAGGTCAAGGTACAACCTCCTATGCAAGTCTGAATCTAGACCCAAATGAAGGCTGTTGAGAAATTTGGAGCACAGTGACAGTATCTGACTTCCGGTGTCAAGTTTGCTTTTGCTGTGATGCTGAACACACAGAGGAGGCAAAGTGTGAAGTAGAGAGATCAACTGGGAGTTACTGCAAGACAGGACAAGTGAGACAGAAGCTATGCTGGTACTGTTATGGGCCTAACAGGACAGTGAGGAGAGGAGAAATTCAGGGGGACCAGAGGTCCCACACATACACTGAAGGGAAACTGCTGGTTAGGCAGAGGCCACCAGTATGTTTATTCTCCTGCTCCCTCTTGGGCTTTGTGGACAGTCATCCACCCGCAGAAACGCTTCCCCACTCCAACAGAGTTCAACAACTTCCCACATGACAGATTCCCCTTCAGTTAGGAGTTTTTTTTAGCAATGCCACCATTATCCACCCAGGTTCAACACATTTTCAAACCCTGAAATGAATGTGTGTACACCTTCTCTTTGTAACTTCTCATTAAAATGTTCTTCAATATGTGCTACAATACTAGGCTGCCAGAAGACATCACTGCACAGAACACAAACCAAATCTGATGTTTGCAGCTCTCCTCAGTAATACAGCTCAAATACTCTCCGTTCTAGTCTTGCAGCATTTTTTTGAATACAGGGTCTCCTTCATGTATTTTAAGCTGACCTCAAAGTCACTATAGTAATGGAGGATGACCTTGAACTTGCTGCCTTCCAGCCCTTGGGGTTAGGATTAAGATGTGCCACTACACTCAATTTTTAGGTAGTGTTGGGGATAAAACCCAGGGCCTTTCACATGGAACACAAGCACTCTACCAACTGAGCTACATTCTCAGTCCTCTTCAGCACACATGGCCCACAGGCGAACCAAACCAGTCACCTAACACAGTCCATGTTGTCTTACACCTGTGCCTTCATTTCTGCTTCACACTGAATGTCCATTCTGTGTCATCCAACATTAAAGGCTGCTTCTCCTTCAACACACGATGAATGTTAACTCCTTAACTAAGCTCATGTAGTTTCATTTAAACATCAATCTCTACCTCTGAAGTCCCCGGAAATGGTGCTTCTATGGTCCTTTCTACAAATAACCCTGTATCTGAATGTTTCGATTTTTGTCTCACATTCCAGTTGGCTATATGTTCTTTGAAAACTAACAGATATCTTTTTATTTCAAATAGAAATCAAAACAGGTTAGTGCATCATTAAACACCCCATTTTTCTAAATTTGAAAGTTACTTGTCAAGGCAGTTTCTGCTTCAATTGTGAGTACAAAGTGCTCAAAATTTTAACTGGGCTTTTAGTATGATTGATATTTAGCCAGGAAATGTGAGTGTATGAGGTTATAAAATTAACTCTAACTTAATAGAAGAGCCTGTTACCCAAGGAAGTATAGTAGAGCCCACACAAATATAACCCAAGCGTACTTCATTTTCCAGGGCAAGTTTTAAAATTTCATTAAGTGTCACAAATGTATCATTTCCTCGAACTGCATCTTTCTCCATAAATCCAAGGTGAATATCAGTGGCAACCAGGATTTTAAAAGTGTCTTCATCATCACTGTGTATAAAAAACAAAATTCAATGCAATTCATTAAAAGGATATTCAAGCAAATGGAGACCTAAACATAAAATAAATAATAGTAACCATAAAGCAAAATCATTTTTCTAGCCTCAGACTTGGCATGCAAGACTCAACAGATCTTTAACATCACGGCTTTCCATTTTGAATTTAATACAGAACAAATATGACATTTGTAAGTGTTCCCTGTCTCCTCTGAAAATTCATAGCCTTGTTATAATCAGTTTTATATACTGTCAGATCTGTTCCCTACTTTGTTACACAAAAACCCGAATGGCTTTGCTCCCTTGTTATTATCTGATGATACACTTTTCCAGGCAAGCCATTTAAAAGTCTTCCTCTAAGTTTAAGAATAAATTTTATACTAATATTCTAGCTGCTTACATCCCAAACCCTGAAAAGTGCTTGACTCTGTTCTTTACACAGTTTTTCAATAGTAAATAATGGCCAAGTAACAAAACAGAGTAGTTTAAATCCAAACGGTAAATTTGATAAAGGTATTTTCATGTGAACCAGCAGCTTCACCACTATTAACACTCACTAAACTTAACACTGAGTTTAGTTCTTTAAGATACCTTCATATCTAAGATCTCATCTCAGTCCCCACAGGGAAAGAAGCAGGTAAGGTCACTATCTCTGAAAAATAGGCCAGACACAGTAGTAACAGAAGCAAGACTAAAGGGCATAAAAAAGTCTTCACTGAACCACTATGAATTAAAAATTTATTTTGTATACAACTCCACAACTCAGAAACTTAACAGTTGTATGCATGGAGTCACCACTGTTCCACAAGCTTCTCAGCCCTTCCAGAGCATGTGTTCTCACAAAAATTTGCTCATTTACATGGAAAAATTAGCCTGGAAGGAACAGCATTATTCTAGTTATACAAATGAAAAACAAAACAAGGCATGCCCAGAGAATTGATGACTTTCCAAGAACTTGAAACCAGAGTGGAAGACTTCATCCATGTTCAAACTGCCCACCCATCCACGCCCCCCTAACTTCTATAGTCCTTTTGTTTGTTTCCATTTTGTTCAAATTCATTCCAATTTACTTAATACTAGAGCAACTTACTCTAAAGTGCATGAGCTTTCCTGCATTGCCATGTAGTAAGTTACTGCAGCACACTCCTCTACAGCTCCATATGATCTTTTTGCTAAAGAGCTTACGGCGTGTGCTTTTAAGCACGCCAGGCACATTTTTTGGTGATACTCTGTTCACTATTCTGCTGCTGTTTTTGTTAAAGTGTCAAGTTTTCTGTTAAGATCATCAGTTAATAAGCCAGGCTTACAGTGGATCTGCAGGGCTCATTTTTATGGTAGAGCTCCTCTGGGTTAGAGTTCCTCTTCAAGTACCCTGGGGTTCTGTGTTCAGGTATGTCAGAAAAGCCAAGCGATTCCAAATTCTAGAATAACAAAATATACATTTTATAAAGGTTGCACATATTTCACCAACGTGAGTTCAAGTTGCAGGGTAGACTTCTTAAATAAACATTGGCAATTTTGAAGACTAGTTTTCATCTTCAGCACTTACTGCAACTGTTTCGTGACCTAAGGAGAAGGTCTTATCTGAATTCAAGTGAGGCCCTAACTGCACTATCATGACTACTTCTCTCCTGTTTTCTACATGAAATCGGTGTGTGGACAATTACTGGAAGGAAAGGATCCAACTCTTTACGTGCACAAACTTAACGCAGCACGGCGCGGGGCTTTAGAGAGACCACCACACACACTTAACACTAACAGGGCTTTTACGGGGCAGCCCACGTTTAAAGCTAGAACTTATACATAAGCAAACACGCGGTGGTGGCGCTGCCAGCGCAGACGACCCTCCGCCCGCGGGACACCAGGCCGGAACGCAGAGCCCGAATCCCTCCCGGTCCACCCGGCCCTTCTTCCACAACCGCTCCACGCACTCGGGGCTTCCGCCGTGAACCCCCACGCAAAAAGACCGGAGCGAAGCCTGTTACCCCAACCCGGCCTCGGTCAGAGCCCACCAGCGAGGCCACAGGTCATCTCCAGCGCGGGAGGACAGGGCGGGAGTCGCCCGGACAAGAACACGGCAATCAGAAACCTGAATTAGGCGCGGGAGAGCCGCGGCTGTGCTTCTCGCGAGATCCACGGATGGCGTCTGCGTCATAGGTCTTCCCTGCTCTCTCATTGGATCCAGAGTGTCTTCGACCGGCAAGACGCCAATCATAGGCAGCGGAGGGGGAGAACCCGGAAGCGATGTTCTGGGCACGGTTCTCTGTGGAAAGGTGAGGCGAGTGTCGC